GCGCCTGCGAGGTAGGCCGTCCCGCGGTGCTGGCGCGCGCGGCGGGCTTGCCTATCGCGCACTTCGCAGGCGCCCGCGTCGCGTGCGGTTGGTCCAACTTTAAAAACTACCTGCCCCTTTTCGCCAACTTGGGGGCCGCCGGCGGCGTTTTGCGTAATTCTCGCTCGCGGCTCCTACACCGCCAAGCCGCCAACCCCCGCGACTTGTTTTTATCATTTTGCCGAGAGGAGCAGACATTTATTTTTACCGGCTCTTGGCGCTGCGCTCGGCACGGCCTGCCCTTTGCCAGTCTCTCTCTTTCTCTCTCTCTCTCTCTCTCTCTCTCTCTCTCTCTCTCTCGCTCTCTCTCTCCCTCCCCGTTACTGAGCAGTGTACTCGATGTCCTTGTTGTTTTCGTGGGAGGGAGGTGGGTAAAATATTGCAGGAAAGCACCTCTCCCGTGTGTGTGTGTGTGTGTGTGTGTGTGTGTTGTGTGTGTGTGTGTGTGTGTTGTCTAACAAGCGGGCTGGACGTCCCCAGCGAGGAGCTACAATGCCGTAATCCAATCCAGCCTGTCTTCTAGAGCTCCCCGGCGAGCGACCGTCCCGCCCCGCCGCGCGTGGGGTCACCACGGTGGCGCCCGCTGCCGGTAGCCGCACCGGATAAAAAAAACAAAGACAAAACAAATAAACTGCAAAAAGTAAAAAATGTTGGAATCGGCAACTGATGAGGCGCGCGTTAGTTGAATATAAAGTGACGTCGGCCCCGCCCCCGGGGGCGTTTCCGGACGGTGTCGCTCCGTCTCTCTCGCACTCGAGGCGCGGCCCGTTGCGGTGCGAGAGAGGCAGAGGGACGGAGCGGCTACGGGTGCCGAGCCAGAGGGCCGAGAGGGGTGGGGTTGGCTGCGGCGCCCGAATTGCCTCGCGCAAACAACTCCCGAATGGCAAGCAGCTGTTCGATTTGAGTTTCCGCCGCCGCCTTTTTCTGCGGCGAGCGCGCCGCCATGCACTCCACGGGGCCGCACAGTGGGCCAGAAGACCGGTGGAGGCGGCCGAAATTCGAGACGCGTTTTGAGCAGGTTGGCAAAATTAACATAAAAGTTTTTGTTAGCCATAAAAACTGCCATATTCATACTACAAGGTAGGGTTTTCGCCAGACCGCGTCTTGTCGTAACAGGCTTCGCGATGTCTCGCTGCCTGTTCCTCCAATCCGCGCCCGGGGTACCCACCTGGCCTGCGGCGCTAGCTGCCTTTGGCAGGCAATGGCTTGTCCATCGTCGGTTACTTCTAACCCGGCGCGGATCCAGGATTTCCCTTTAGGGGGGGCACTTTTGGCAGATGTGTATCACAGGTTGCCTACCTACAGGGGCATGATCGCCGATATTGAGACGTTCCGCCGCATTGACCGTTAAAAGAGTAAAGTGGGCCATTCTCGCAGCAAAGTACGCATTTGAATACTCTTAAGACTGTTAATCGAAGTGTGAGTGGATAGCAGGTTTTTAACTATACAACTCGCGTGGTTTGCGGCGATCAAAGCGAGCCGCAAGCTACCGACCTTGTTTTAAAATTTTGGGGTGAAATTTTTTATCTTTTTTTAAAGGTTTTTTTGTAAAACAACAGAGCAGAGCGAGCCACAAGCCACTGATGTTTCAAAATTAGGAGTGGCGTTTTTTATACTAGAAAGGTAATAAGTAACCCTACGGGTTTTTTTATGGGTTTAAAAGGGTGGATTTAGTCATTGCCGGGAGCGTAGCGAGCCGCAAGCTTCATACTTTTTTAAAAACGAGGCTCAATTTTTAAAAAGAGTCCAAAGTTTTTAATCTAAAAGCAAAGAGAAACACAGATACTTTGCGAGCGAAGCGAGCCCCAACCATGGCCGTTCAAATTTAGACTGGCGTTTAGTTGAAGAGGTTTCTTATGAAACACTAAAACAATTTCCCGATAGCAGAACCAGCTACCCGGTCCCCATCAAAACCCCAGTACTATTCTATATTCCTATTCGTTTCAAGGCTATGACTTAACCGAATCGGCAATTACTTGTGCACCAAGCCTGTTCCTTATTGCGAGCGAAGCGAGCTGAAAGCTCCGCACTTCAAATTCAAACTTTCCAATTTTTCCGCTTATCTTTACTCATTCTTCCTTTTCTTCTCCTCTCCTTTTTCGTCCCTCCTCTCTTTCTCCCTTCTCCCCCTTTTTTTCCATGCGCGTCTGGGGTTTTGGGGGGGCACTCGCCCCGGTGCCCCCCCCCTTTGGGTCCGCGCTGTTCTAACTTGATGCAGGCTGGGGGCTCCGCCCCCCAGACCCCCCCTTTATTCTAGATCCCTTGTCACTTTTTAACTTGTCGGGCGGGGGGGTCCACCACCTTTTTCTTCACTTTCTCCCCTTTCTCCACCTTTTACGCCACTTTCTTCTCTTTTTTCTCCACATTCACCACCCCTTTCTCCTCTTTCACCACCTTTTTCTTCACCTCCGGCAGGCAATCGCTTGTCCATTGTCGGTTTTTCACTTTCTCCTCTTTCACCACCTTTTACTCCACTTTCTCCTCTTTCCCCACCTTTTTCTCCACTTTCTCCTCTTTCACCACCTTTTTCTCTAATTTCTTCTCTTTTTTCTCCACATTCACCACCCCTTTCTCCTCTTTCACCACCTTTTTCTTCACTTTCTCCTCTTTTACCACCTTTTACTCCACTTTTCCTCTTTCACCACCTTTTTCTCTAATTTCTTCTTTTTTTCTCCACATTTACCACCCCTTTCTCCTCTTTCACCACCTTTTTCTTCACTTTCTCCTCTTTCACCACCTTTTACTCCACTTTCTCCTCTTTCACCACCTTTTTCTTCACCTCCGGCAGGCAATCGCTTGTCCATTGTCGGTTATTCACTTTCTCCTCTTTCACCACCTTTTACTCCACTTTCTCCTCTTTCCCCACCTTTTACTCCACTTTCTCCTCTTTCACCACCTTTTTCTCTAATTTCTTCTCTTTTTTCTCCACATTCACCACCCCTTTCTCCTCTTTCACCACCTTTTTCTTCACTTTCTCCCCTTTCACCACCTTTTACTCCACTTTCTCCTCTTTCACCACATTTTACTCCACTTTCTTCTCTTTTTTATCCACATTCACCACCCCTTTCTCCTCTTTCACCACCTTTTTCTCCAATTTCTTCTCTTTTTTCTCCACATTCACCACCCCTTTCTCCTCTTTCACCACCTTTTTCTTCACTTTCTCCTCTTTCACCACCCTTTCTCCACTTTCTCCTCTTTCTTCCTCCCTTTCTCTTCCTTTTTCTCCTCTTTCTCCACCTTTTACTCCACTTTCTTCTCTTTTTTCTCCACATTCACCACCCCTTTCTCCTCTTTCACCACCTTTTTCTTCACTTTCTCCACTTTCACCACCCCTTTCTCCACTTTCTCCTCTTTGTCCGCCACTTTCACCACCCCTTTCTCCACTTTCTCCTCTTTCTTCCTCCCTTTCTCCTCCTTTTTCTCCCCTTTCTCCACCTTTTACGCCACTTTCTTCTCTTTTTTCTCCACATTCACCACCCCTTTCTCCTCTTTCACCACCTTTTTCTTCACTTTCTCCTCTTTCACCACCTTTTACTCCACTTTCTTCTCTTTCACCACCTTTTTCTCTAATTTCTTCTCTTTTTTCTCCACATTCACCACCCCTTTCTCCTCTTTCACCACCTTTTTCTTCACTTTCTCCTCTTTCTCCTCGACATCTCCTCTATTCAACCGTTCTCCTGACTTGGACTGAGAAGAGTCTCCGCCATGGTGATGGACTCGGAGCGCAATAGGGAACCTACCAACAGGAAGAAAATATTGTCACCAAAAGGCAATCAGACTGTGATATCGAGAAGTTGATTTAAAAGAGGTTTGCAAAGAAGGTTTGGTAAGCAAGGACCGAGCTTCGTCTTTATGTCAGTTATGTAATTCACTTGAGAAGTTTCCAGACAGACTGCAAGGATTCGAAAGAAAAATTTGATGCCTTTATAAGCAGAGGAGGTGTCACATGGGGAGACATCACAACCAACCGTTAATCATAGTTATTGACTTTTTCAGTTCTGTCTTCGTTCTGTCAAAGGCAAATTTACTTGAAATATTGACGAATGTGCAGAGAGGGACCAGGACACATAGCACCAGGCGTAAAAGTAAACGATGTTACTGTACCGTTCCAAGCATGATCGCTGGAGCATGATGAGGAGTGCGGGCCGATTCGGAGTTTTCGATCTCAAACGTTTAAGCACCGTTGAGTATTTAATTTAGTTTTCGCCAGCAGGCAATACGAAAACACATGGGAACTGGTAACCTACAAGGAGCACCTCAACCTTTATGACGGAGAGAACTCCGATAAAACCAGACCTTGCGAGGCACTAAAATCGTTTCGCCGGACGATTTTTAATCCAAATTTGCACGCATTTCTTATCTATAACTACGGTTCGGTTAACAAATGTTTGCATCAGTCTTTCTCTAGAACAATCCGTATGTGTCGGTCCAACCTCGACTCCCGGGAGAGGGCGCTGAGCGTTAATTTTCTCTCGATGGGACTATTCCACCGTTTGCGACTTAGTAAAAGAGCATTTTGGGACAATTTGGGCGAATATACTTAATCTTCTGCATTTCCTAGTGTTTCATTTCCCAGAGCTAATGACGGACATGAAAAATTAGCAAGTACTGATGTTGCTGGCAAGCTTACCTAAAAATCAATTTAAAAAATGAAACATTGACATTTTATTTTAAAAAAAAAGGAATTAAATTTTTAAAGAAGAAAGTTTTAGTAGTAGAACTACATTGCATGAAATCTCACCAGTATCGCTCCACAAACATGCCAAGGGTACCATCCAGAGAATTTTTCCACGAGTGACTTGCATATGACCAGCAAGTGGGAACCAGTGGAAGCTTCCTCAGTGCACTGACTGGCGGGGCTCTCATCAGAGAGAGTGCCAAGAGGTGTCCACAACAACAGGGCACACAAACATACAGCAAATACTTGAATGACAGTGGCTGTGACAAACACTGCAATCCACATTGGAGAAGCAGCATAAAGGAAGAACAATGACATAGCAATTGCTGAATACACCTAGATGATGATCAAGAGGAGAGAAATAAAAGTTAAAAGACCACAGTATATTGATGATGACATGAACAAGAAAAATATCAATGGTTTTTTGAAGCATTAACATACCAATGCTGAGATGAAGATATCAAAGTAGGTGTTAAATCGTGAGGTAGCTAGTGTTGGTGGTGAGTCACCATGTCTGTCTGATATGCGATGAGGAAAAAAATTGAAATCTATAATCTTTAATGTAATTTTGTCAGTTCATGTGAACGGATGACACAGCGGCCCGCGAGGGGCCCTCGTCAGCTGGAGTGCAGCGAGTCGACCATCCCGGGCCGTCATCCGAGGCACAACACCTCGGTGGTTCCTCTTTGATCCCTTGCTCTGAGGGCCCTTTTCGAGCCCCTGCTCGCTTTGGGCCCTTTTTGGGCCCTTTTTGAGCCCTTGCTTAGAAGGCCGGTTTTGGGCCCTTGCTTTTGTGGGCCCTTTGTGGTCCCTTGTCCTGTAGCCCTCTTGGGGCCCTTTTTCTTGGGCCCTCTTTGGGCCCTTGCACTTGTGTGCCCTTGTCCTGTAGCCCCTTTTACAAGGGGTCAACCACATTGGATGTTTGGGGACACAAGATTTCTGAAGGCTAAAGATTTCGTCGGATTTCGCAACATTTTAACCGATATTCTGCCAAAAATTACCTTGTTTTTGGCCTTTTCTAGGGCAAGATTTCAGATTTCCCAGGGATTTCGAGCGCTAAGGGGACACAAGATTTCTAGAGTGGTTGACCCCTCGCACTTTTAGGCCCTTGAACTTGTTGGCTATTTGTGGGCCCATTAAAGGCCCTTCCTCTTGGAGCCCATTAGGTCCTTGCTCTTGGGCCCCTCGGGCCAGGCGCGGATCCCCCCCCCCCCTCAAGGCGGCGATGCCGCCTGAAAGGTAGTCAAAAGGTCGCACATTACCCCTGTAGGTAGGCAACTTTCGCGACATCCCCCCCCTGAACCCGTACCTGGATCCGCCCGTGCTTTGGGCCCTTGTTACTTGAGCCCCATCGGACTCCGAGCGAATCTCGGGCCCTTTGACCCATGTAGATCTTTTGGAGTAAGTGTAGGGGCCCTTCAGGCCCAAGGGCCCAAGCGGCGATCGCCGCCTAGCCGCCAGTGCGCCCGGACGGGGGAAATATGTGTTGATTCGCTTGGACCACTTCCTGCAGGGTCCCAGTGCGGCGCGGCACGATGGGCTGCCTTTCTGGAAGGGGTGCTGGACACCCTGGAACTGGGTCCGGAGCCAGGGTTCGATCGGGAAGGGCGCCCAGGGTGCCCAGCCCAAACTAGGTGGGCTAAAATACCGTTTTACAGTGAAGTGGAGTGTTGCAGAGCTCCACGGAAATGGTTCGTTCTCGAGAACGGCGCAAAACGTATTTTGTGGTTGACTGTTTCGATTAGAGGAGGGTCTAAGCTAAGTTTTAAGCCAACTGGAGCCAAATTTGGTTAAGGTACTTGGAAACTGTGCAAATTTTAAAACTTCGTAAAAGTTTGAAAGTAAAATTTTTTTTCAAAACAAAAATTTTTTTTCACTAGTAGATTCGATTTTTCTTCCCCTTTCCAAATCTGGTCTCGGATTTGGTCTACGATGCATATTAGCGACGCTATCAACCTTCAAAGTTGCACTGGTGCAGCAATTTGAGAAAAAAGTTTTTTGCTATATCTCAGCCCCTGGGGCTACATTCGAAAAACTTTGTACCGGTCATGAACTAGTACCATGGGGGTAACAAACCCTGAAAAGAAGAATCAATTCGGTGACCATGGTGGCAGAGGCCTTGTCGACTTTACGTGGAATGACCCCGTTGTAAGTATCACGTAAAATACGGGGGGGGGGGGCTTGAGGATTTTTAAAAAATATTTGAGCCCCCCCTCCCCCCCAGCGAGAGGGACTTCCGACTCCACTGATTTTTTGGGTTGAGGGCCAAAGTTACCCCGGTGGGCCAAAGTAGCCCCGGTTTACGGTTTTTCAAAGGCATGTGTGACCGTTTTGATCAACTTTGAGACAATACTGCTCCCAAACTAAGGCGGATAATCGCACTTCGTACCAAAGGCATGCCAAAGGAAGGTCCAAGGACAAATTGCCTGTTGTGAAAAAACGAAGGCCCGCCTCGGATCAGACCCAAGGGACAGAAAATTGTCACATTGACGTCAAGTGACTTGAATTTGACCAATGTTTGTCAAGCTCAGATACAGTGACCTCAAGTGATGTCAATTTGACCTGGTACAATCCTATGCAAAACAACTTGAATTACAAGATAAAGTCCAAATTGTTTCAAGTATTTGGTTTAGAGTTAAAGGAACTCAAATGTTGAACAATTTAATAGCTGAGAGAAGATTTAGTCACGATGACCTCTGTTTGATGTCATCTACGAACGCATTAAGGTTGTGTTATTTTAAGCAAATGGCGCGGCAAAATCATCCGTTCAATTTTTTTCTGAACATTCAAACTTTGTCCTGCGTGTTAAGATCGCATTTATAATACCTTGATCCGAAAAGTATCTGTATTTTGGTAACTCGCTTAGTACTCATATTATCTAAATATCTAAAATTTTGCACATTTTCAAACTTGGGTTGTCTGACAAGAATTTCCAGGCAAATCATTAAGTTTCACGCTCACTCTAAAAAAATATTTATACATTACAGGCCCATACAGGCCTCAAGAATTTCAAACGACCTGCATCTTAGAATACGAGTCACAATTGTGGGGCTACATCGTGGAAGCTCCATCAAGGCTTTGAAGCGTTTGAGCCACGGGCGAAAACATTTCTTATGCCGCCCTCAAAGTAGCGCCTAGCTGGGAGAACAGTGTGGCAAGGAAGAGATAGGCACAGCTACCATGAAGCTTCGTGGCGTAGTGGTAAAGAGCGCGCCTACGGAGCCAAGGAGTCGGGTTCGAATCCCGGCTACGGCGCAGCGGCGTTCGCCATTTGACAGAGAAAGCATACAGTAGGTGATATTCACCAAGTCAGGTTTCATCGGAAGGGAGAGTTGGAGTAGGTTGCTAGTCCAAACAAATAATTTTAACACCACTTGACACAATGACATCAATTGACATCAACTTGATGTCAAAATTAACTCAGTCTGATGGTCCAGTATGATGTCATTTTGACGAACATAAATTTGACCTGAGTTTGACATCATGTGACGTCAAAGTGACAATTTTCTGTCCCTTGGGGATGCAGTAGCTGCTTAAAGTCGGCCCAAAACACGATTTTTCAAAAGCATTTGTGACCGTTTTGATCAACTTAGAGACAATACTGCTCCCAAACTAAGGCGGATTAACGTACTCCGTAACAAAGGCGTGCTGCGTCTCGTTGGGTCGTGAAATTTTTCCGGGGGTCGCGGAAAGTTTTGGCTACAAATTTGGGGTCGCGTGCCGAAAAAGGATGAGAATCGATGGAACCGAGGATGAGAAATATATTTTGAAGGACGACTCGAAGGTACTTAAAGGTAGACTGTCCCTAGGTCGCGGTCCCCGCCTGTTTGTTTACAAGGGTCCTGTTCAGTCTAGCTTCAAGTACCTACCGGGGTAGCTTTGCCCACCCCGTTAAATTTGCTTCAGTGGCTTAGAATGTGACTAACTCAAATCGAATTTCAAGTCACAGTTACCGCGGTGCGCACCAAATCCAAGTTTACCTTCGGATTAAGGTTCAAATCAGGTCGCGGCAAAATGGCACCAGATTCAACAACCTAAAAAGAAAAGTGGCGAATGTTTGGTGAGTCGTTTCTTTCAAACTTACATGAGTATTGCGAATATCTCGCTCTAATCATGTTGCCACCAGATAGGATATGTGTTCTTTATCATTAAATCACACAAAGTATTCCATGCTGATTCATTGTTTTTCCTTAAAGAATGAAACTGTTAGTTTGCAGCACTGTCTCGGATGTTTTTGTATACTCGTCCCAGCGTAACCTTTCCGAAAGTAGCCCCTCGTCCGTCTTTTCCCCAAATCGGCGCATTTTATTTCACAATCCTCAGGAAATAAGTATTGATTCTAAAAATAAAGGCGATTCCGGCAGACAAAAATGTGTGGGGCTTTCACTGATATAAGCAGTTATTATTGAATCTCTTTCAGTTGCTCAAAGATAATCTAAAAAGTCGGGAGCTCGGTCGGGAGGAGAAGCCGCCCTCGCGCACACAATCCGGGATATCTAAAGAAGAAGGCAAAGTTTCGCAAAATAAAGGCGATTCCGGCAGACAAAAATGTGTGGGGCTTTCACTGATATAAGCAGTTATTATTGAATCTCTTTCACTTGCTCAAAGATAATCTAAAAAGTTGGGAGCTCGGTCTAGAGGAGAAGCCAGCCTTGTGCACTCAAATCAAAATTTCTGAATAATAAGGCACAATTTCGAAAGACAAGGGCCAGCTGGGCATACAACAACGTCTTAGGTTTAGAGAAATGCAAGCTGTCATTATGATATCTCTTTCAGTCACTCAATCTTAGTGAAAAAAGAGGGTCCGACAGACCGGTGTTTTGAGGGGCTCGGACCGGCGCGTCGTCTGCCCGCGGAAATGCAGAACCCGGAATGCTTAGTGATTACGTCTAAGATTGTTCGTATTTTTTCAACGTTGTTTACTTATACGATTTATTACGGTCGCAACGGTCTAGAATTGATTATTAGTTTTTAAAAATCCTATTACCTGCGGGACTATTTTCTGTTCTCTGGCTACTGGCGGAGTGATTTGGAAAGGTTACGCTGGGACGAGTATACTTCAAGTTTGTGATGTGAGTCATCTGGTTGTCACAGTCATTTTACTTTTGGTTGGTCGTGATTAATGCATACTCGAAGTCTGAATGCGCTGCCTAGTGTTTTGCGATTAAGTTTCTAATCTTATTCATCTCTATTGATAATTAATGCTGTAGTTTTTTCTTCATCGCCTTATTGAAACTTTCTTTCGGCTTGTGAGGGTAAGGTTAACCTCCTTGACGTAACTTAAGTATTCGAAGTCAATTGAAATTCGTTATTTTATTTTGTTCATCTCGATTTAAATGCCCGTTCTTCGCTGTAGTTTTCAATAGAAACGGCCGTTCTGTAAAGTCTGGCAAGGCTCTCTCTTTTCCTCATTCATTTAGTTACATTTCTTCTTTTGTGTTATTAGTTTCCTAATATTCTAATTGAAACGAACAGGGTTGTTGCACTGGCATGGTCACAGCCATGGAGAAAACACTTAAGGAAAAACTTGGGAAGGTTGGAGTAAGTATCCTGACATTAGTCTTGTCTATCATTTGATAGCTGTTTTCACTTATAGAATGTTGCCTTTCAGTATCAGAGTCCAGAAAACACCTCTAAAGATGTCATTAGTGCCTTGAATGTCTACCGAGGTCTCACTTTTTCAGTGGAAGCTTTTGGTAAGCCACATCAGTTTTCCCTATCTGCCACCTCCAAACAAAGCTGTCAAAAACCTAAAGTTTATAAATGCTTGAGAGCTGAGGCTTCATTACAGTTGATCGTTTATTTATTGTTGATTCAGTTGTTGCTCAGTTTGATGTAATGTAACTTTCAAGCAAGTCTACCAATCTCTCTACCTGAGGTCCAAGCCTCTATTTGTTATTTTTTATGCTGTTTTTTTTTCTTTTTGTACAACCTGTGTTTATTTATCTAATTGTCATTTTGATAGTTTTCAATGATGGATCAATGAAGGACCTTTGTACAATACATGGAACTATTCCTGTACCCTATAAGGGTAAGTTATATTTTTCCTTTTGTTTTCTCCTGTAAAAAAGTCGACCTCATCTTTTACTTACAAACAATGCACATGCACCTGGGATAGTCTTTTTATATGGTTGTTAATGTGTGGTGTGTGGTATTTTTCTTGCTCTTTCTGTCTCTCAAATGAGAGAGGTGGTTTGCTACTTTTACAAGTTGTGTCCTTGTGATCCACACTGATTTCTTTATTGAACAGTTTTCAACTCAAATTTGTGTGTGCATGTGTGCCCTTGTAGTTATAAAACAAATATTAATTGTTTTGATTACTTGAGTATTGCGTGTTGAGCCGGGCACTTTTGCAATTTTATGATGTTTTGCCCAAGACGGTACTGAAGTGTGTGTGTGGTTGTCTTGCTTGAAGTCACTTTATAGGTGTGCTACAACTACATAATCAATTCAAAATCTATGGGTTATCTGAAATGTAGCCTCTTTTAAAAGAAACAAACTTTAGGTTTTTTTTTTTTTCTTTTGCTATGTCTTATGAGCAACAGTGAAAGTAACTTGTTCTCCAATTTGACTGACTAGTTTTATTTCTTTGTATTCAAGTATTTTCGAATGGTACCAGGAAAGAACTGTTAAACTTGAAAGGAACGGTACCTGTACCATATAAGGGTAAGTCATGCATGCTGTCTCTATACTATCCCAGGTCTTCCACACAAACATGATAATTTCTCAAACCTAAACACAATCCATTTTTTTTCTGCTAGTCTAGATTTGGGTTCAAGTGTTACTAAGTAATTATTCTGTTTGCTTTTCATTTTGTGTACTGATTTTATTTTAAGGTATGAATTATAACATACCAGTGAAGATTTGGATAATGGATACTCATCCAAATAATGCTCCAATATGTTACGTAAATCCTACTTCTGACATGATTGTGAAACCGTCAAGAACTACAGACCACAGTGGAAAAATATACCTACCTTTCTTACACTTTTGGGATCCAGTAAGTTGTTCTCGTCATTTTTTGTTTCTTTAAGTAGTGGAGAGGAAAGGTGAGGCTTACTGGTATCTGTGATTTGCTTCTTTTTAGCGCGGTGCAGAGCTTCTACCCTCTCTTATAAAAAATATGATAAGTGCTTTCTCAGCGGAGCCTCCTGTTTATGCAAAGCCAAAGGAAGCTGCTCAGCAGCAACAGCAAGCAAACCAGCAGCAGTCAGCTTCTTCCGGTTTCACACCTTATCCTACACAGCGTAAGTGTCCCTGACAGATATTTTGCTTTTCCTATAATATGGGGCGCTGATGATGATGATGTTGACCCATACTATGTGACGAATTTGCGGGGGTGGGGGTGGGGGGTGGGGTCTTGTCTTGTCAAATACTACGGTCCATCTTAACACATGGGAAGGTTTGGTTATCCAGGTCACGGAAAAGAGGTAGGGGGTCAAGAAGTAGCTGTTGTAACCAATTCAACTCTTTAAACCTTTTTTGTTGCAGCCTACATGCCAATGCCAGCAGCTGGTAGTAACCCAATGTACAACAATATTCCATCGTCGTCCCCCTATCCATCATCTGGGGCACCATATCCAGGAGGGTTCCCAACTCCTTATCCAAATTATAACTCTGGCTCTGGTGCTGGCTCAGGGTATCCAGCATATCCTACAGGAAACAGTCAGCTCCCCTATCCTGCCTATCCTTCTTATCCTGGGGGTCCACCGGTAAGATTCAACAAGGAAACTTTTTTTTTTCTGATCATGGCATCAGATAGTACCCACAATTATGATTTTATTTTTTTTCCTGTAGGCCCCACCAACTGGTAACACACAGAGCTCAGGTGCTGCTTTAGGTACAGGAACAATTACAGAGGAGCACATCAAAGCTTCTCTACTCTCTGCTGTGGAAGATAAAATGCGGCGGTCTTTACGTGAGCAGTCCAGCCGTGCGCGTGATGAACTGGAAATTCTACGGCAAACGGAGTCAGAGTTAAGAGAAGGAAAGAGTCGACTTGATGATATTTTGGCCAGACTCACAAGAGAACAGGTATGTATTACTCTTATACAAGGGACTGCCAATGAGCTATGTAGGATTCTAGCGCAGATTAGAATATTTTGATTCTGTTAATCTCTCAATATCCTGGAATGCATCTGTCATAGGAGGAGCTAGATAAGAACATTTCCATGCTGAAGGACAAGGAACAAGAGCTCAGCAAAGCCACTGAGCGTCTGTCTGATGAGGATCCTGTCGATGTAGATGAAGCAGTAACTACCACTGCTCCACTTTATAAACAGTATGCTTTCTTCTTTGCCATTTTGTTATGTGGCTGATTTCGTTTGTGCAGTTTGACCAATGTTTCTTTTTTCCGCAGGATATTAAATTCATATGCAGAGGAAGCAGCCCTAGAAGACGCCATTTATTATGTAGGAGAAGCCTTACGTCGTGGTGTGATTGATTTGGATGTGTTTTTGAAGCAAGTCAGGTCTTTGTCTCGTAGGCAATTCATGTTACGAGCCTTAATGCAGAAATGTCGCCAAAAGGCTGGTCTTAAGTAAATTACATCTGTTTTTACTAACCAGTCAGGTGCTGTTCCACATTTTTGTTTTATAGTGCCTTTGTTTTTACAAGTACCCCAATTTCCACTCCCTCCCTTAAAAAACATCATAAAGTTTTTAATAAATTTAATCAAAACTGCTAAGAAGCTCTAAAAATATGGAGGGAAAAATATTATGTAAACAAGCAACATACAGATGTTTTTGTCCAATCTTGTTGTTTTGACTCTCTGTCATCGCTGGATGTTTGCATGCATATTTTTAACAGAATTAATTGCTTTGCTACACATGACTGTTGTAGATGAAGTGAAATATTTGAGGATGACATGTGCACTATAGTTTGCAATGTTTATCTTGCACTATGTCCTATAGTATCTGTGATGCAATGCTGTTAATGGTTTCTTTTTTAAAATATATATTTATGGCTCAAAATAAGAGTTGCTTTAGTTATTTTCTGCAGTGAATCGAATATTTTAAGATTGTAAGATGGCTTACTTGATCATAATTAACATAATTGTTGCTGTCTGCCAATTCTGATGAAGTTTGTCAGCATTGCCCACAGTTGTCTTATTTGATACCACCTATTATGTAGGTTTATATTTTCTGAACTTTCACACCATGTGTATTCTATATTAGCTTCATGTAATTATAACTTTCAGTTTTTTTAGAGGTGCCTATTAAGCTTTAGGTGATGCTGATATGCGAAGACATTTATAAGTGACAAATAATGTTATGAGTATATGAACAATTTATTTTTATTATGTAATTTGAAACTTCACTTCTTTGTATGATGGTTAAAATGTGCAGCTTCTGTAAACATTGGACCTAATTTGAATGGTATTGCCTTCAGGTTATTACCAACTGGAAATTAAAGGAACACAGTATGCAAATGAATTTTATTGATTAAAACCTAGTAGTAGTGCACACACAATATACATATACAGATCCAATTAGAAAACACTTTTGTGCAGTTTCAGTACAGTGGTATTTTGAGGGGTTTCAAATTTTGACTCAAACAATTTAAAGGATTCAATTGACATCTTGTCAAAAAAAATTACAGGAATGTATTGGTGAATTCATAACAAGCAGTATGGTAATAAGATTTAAAGATAACAAGAAATATACAGTTCGTATCATACATATATCCCTACCCATAACATCAAAAATAACATGCCCATTCCTGAGAAAATAGCAGCAACAAGTGCTACAAGAAGTTCCTTAAAGACATCTCTTGTATACTTGGTGCTTGTAACTTCATAGACAAAGAACCAAGCAGTGAAGAAAATTCCGATGCCGAGCAGGACAATTGTCAAATGGGGAAAGACTGCTGGGTTGACAGGTGAAACATATCTTGACATAAGTTCTATGTCCATCTGTAAGCACAAAATGAACATTTCGTTGGAGGGTTAATTTACACACAAAAAGGTTTGAATCGAAAACAACACTGTGTTGCCTCTTTCCCCTAGAGGTATAGGCAGGCTCCAGAGAGGTTATGAAGTGCGTTTAAAATCCCTCAATCGAAACTTATCCATTTACATGTCTAAACCAAAAAGCACTAGAAATTAACGTAAATCGTCGATGAGTAACACTAGAGTGCTCCGTTAAAATGCAGCACTCCATCTACTGCTTTCGGCTACCAAAAGGTGACACCGGCTACGGCAATTTTGGGAGGAGAACACAGATGACCGCAAACGTCTTTCCACAATATGGCTACTAATATGAGTCTAATTTAAAAGAAAAAGAGGCAGAAACAACTGTACCGAGAGTAAACTTACGTTGAAAATTTGGTTCCTCCGTTGAACTAAACGTAAACAACGCAGACAGCAGTACGTGGCCGCGGCTTGGAACTGGTAAATTGAGGGAGGGGGAGGAGAAGGGGCAGGGGCAAGTGGGGGAAGGGTGGGGGAAGGGGGTGGGTGGTATAGGTTCCGCGACAGTTCCACAAGGCGTAGAATTTATGACGTCTTTTCCTCTCTCTCACTCACACATAAACAGTCTCTAGGCATTTCACTGCTGTGACATTTGACTCGCGAGGGGTTCTACTACGAATTTTACTTTGATCTGTCCTACGAATCATTTCGACGGAGGTATACAGAGAAAGAGAAAATGGTGGAAAGACATGGTAGTCGTCGTGAGAAGTTTGGCCTACATTTTCTGGCTTCTTGGTTTGATTGACGTCACTGTAAGTAGGCGTGGCTATGCGCAGCTCTAGCTAGCTCTACGGCAAATGGGGCGAAACTTTGCAGCGCTAATGACTACGATTACGATATATTTAGAATAAGGATGGTGCAGTGTGTTTGTACTGGAGCGTCTGGCCTCACTAACTTAAATCACCCGCAACAGGCTGGAACAATGTCTGGAATGTAAGGAAATAATTTGTGGACAACTCATTTGAGCAGAAGAAACGACATGGCTGCCTCCACGACTGATGCCCTATTTGTGACTGCCAACGTTGGTTCAATTTTTGAAGATGTAAGTTAATGAACTCGGTAGTAAATAAGAGATTACATGCCACTTAGCTTAGACCAACTATTTAATGTTTTACTGATTTGATGACACCTTCAGCTGTTTGTTTTTAATGTGACTGCTTACATTATTTGCACCACAAAATTTTATGTTAATGTAAAAAGTATGGCCCCTCTTCAGGTGTGGAATGTAACAGCTTAGTTCAAGGTAACAGCATTGCAAAGAATCATGTTTGGTATCTCTCGCTGGCTTCATTTTTTTTTTTTTTTTTCACAAAGCAGCATTTCTTTTTGATTGCTACATGATGCCAGTGTTGACTTAACCTTTACATTAGACATCAGTCAAACCATCTCTGAGAAACTCTTTACTCAATTTCTATGTCAAAATTACTCTTGTCTTTAATGACTGCGTCAAAATAATAGTAGATGCATAAATTACTGTTCTGCTTGCATAGAAATCCTTCCAGCTCTGTTAGTGTGCAGTGGTGTACACCTTTTCTTTCATTTTGCAGCCAACGTCCATGCTGAAGATATGGTGCGATGAATTCTTGGCAGTGAGTAGAAAATTACTCGAAAAGCAAATGTTTGTTTGACAATTGAAAAGAGGTTATTAATGGTCTGTTTTCTTTCAGACGGTGTCTCGATTGTCTCCTAAATTAGTTGCCTTGCACTGTCAGGAAGTGGGAGGCAAAAACTATGAGCGAAGCATGCAACATGTTTCTGAATTTGTCAAGTAAGAGTTGTCCCTTCCATTTTTATTTTTTTTAACTCATTGTTTTCACTCATAATTTGTGGTAAAATCTTTTTCAATGCTTTCTTTTAGATTACTCATGTCCAGTGAAGAGCTCCAACTTTTTGACAAAGTGAGAATATTTTTAGATGAGGATTATTCTTCTGCAGAACACTTTACCGTAAGTGTTGATTAGCTTCATATGATGTACCTTGAATTGCCGTATCTTCTTGTGCATAACCCGCACCATTTTGCCTGATTTTAACCCCCTAAAAACCTGCTGCGGGTTTTATGCGGGGTGGCTTTTTGAGGGACCTTTTTTTCAAATTTTGGAGGGTCAAAACTGGAGTGCAGGTCATATGCGGGGGCGGGTTATATCCAAGAAAATACGGTAAATGTTTCTTATTCTGGTCTTTCTTACTGCACTTAATTCTAATTTGCTGTTTTACAAGACTGCAGTATTAAAAGTTCTTGGGAAAGCCAAAAACCAATTACTACTGTTATCTCAAGATTCTGTGTTAAATTTCTTGCTAGGCTTTAGGTAACTTTTACTTCATACACGAATCCTTACGAGAAGAAAACATCCAGATTTTTAACTTTCAAGGTTTGTGTTAAACCTTCAAAGCATGGAACTGCTCTTTTTTTCTACTCTAGTTTAATATTTTTACTTATAACCATTTTCCTCTCTTCTCTTCCCTTCAGAGTGCAAGTTTGAATCAGTTGCCGGAAAGGAAGTATTTTCAGGGAATATTGAAGATGTCGTTACCAAAGAAAAATCAAAGTTTCCTCAGGAAACTTTTCCGGAGGTTGGTTCCCTAATATAGTTGGTCGTCTTCGCAATCTTATGTTACCTTTCACATTCAATCACTTGTTTGAATTTTAGTGCAAGTGGTCTCGCAAGGGGTTCATGCGTACACGATGGAATTTGAATGGAACAATCTTTGATCTCGTCAACATTCATTTGTTTCATGATGCATCAAATTTTATTGCTATGGAGTCGGTGAGTATCTTTTAGCACCTATCCTGATGTCTATTTTGTTTGGGTTGATGCCACTTTTCTTCTGTTGCACTTACGACCCTAAATTTGAACTAACTATTAGCATTTTGCTCTCATTTTCAGTGTCCATCTGTATACTGTAAAAATCGGCAGAGGGCTCTTGATCATACTCTTAAAAGGTAATCCATGGTCTCCATGAACCTAACACATTTTTATTATAATTTGTATTTGCCTCCTAGATTTTGCATGTTAATTTCACAGGCTTTCATTACACTGCTTCTTTCTGATGCCATAGTTAAACTAAGGAGCCCATCATTTCTATTGTTTCTTATTTGAAAACTTTACAACTACGTAATCTTGTATGTTGTAAGTACAGTGCTTACAATTCATATTTCGATCAAGGTTTTTTCAATTTCTCAGCTATTAGTAAATTGCATTCTCAATTGCACTCATGGCAGTGTAATGTATCGTAGTGTAATGTAAACCGTTTTGAGTGGTTATCGTGAATTATTTTTAAGACCACTAAGGAGGAACTGCTTCATTTGAATTATTTTGTGCTCTATTTTATTAATCATTGGCTCCACTTTGCATGCACATTTTCTTTCAGGTTTCACACCGACCACTATGGAATTGTGCCATTTTTCGTGTTTGGTGATTTTAACTTCAGGACTGATACACAAGGGGTAGTCAAGGTAATGGGCATTGTTGTTAAAAAGATTTGTCTATTGACTATTCATTATCCTCCCCGCACTTACAATATTTGGGTGCATGTAATTTCAAAATAAACTTGGAATTTTGTATTGTATTTGTGCCTAAATTTAGGTGTTGCCATGATAGCCGCTTACTGCAAAATCATGGTACAACTGTTTTGAAACTTCTGGATCTGTTGGTTAAAGGGCTCTGTAGAGAGCTTTCTGCTTTGTAGAAATGGCCTCCATTCAAAATGCTTTCTTGGAAGTGCTGTATTTTAAGCTTTTCGTATCAATTCACATGGTTCTGATCTCAAAGATACCTGTTTGGTATTTGTGAGAGACAGCTAGGTGTTTTTAGAAAGTAAGCTCCACGTTGAAGCGCTGCATTATATTTTTAATCTTACATTTATTTTAAAGTTGTGTTTTCTGGAGCTCGGTGTTGTGAAATGAGCAAATTTCATTTTAAATAGTTTTGAACTATTTTCAATAGATTGTATTTAATTTGAACGATTAGCACTCTCACCTTTAAGGCACAAACCTGGTTAGTACAGGGTGTGTGTACATGACAGGGACAGTGAATATGTATTTATGTGATATCTTTTCAAAGAGTTTTTTTTTTCTTGGCACAGTTCTTAAAGCAGAATTTAATTTCTTATTTTTGTAAATATGTTTTCAGAAACTATCTGAGGGTTTGAATGCTGTAAAAATTCAAAGTAATAAAAGTTCTGACCCTGCTAAGCTGCAATACAGGGACGAGTCTAGTCAGGTATTCTCTCATATATTTCTTTCTCTTGTCCTACTGTTCATGACTGTCACATTATCATTAATAATTGGTTCTCTCCTCCAGCAAGTAGTTTTAACTTTGGGGAAGAAAGAATTTAGTCACCAGGATCACCAGAAATTGTTTGTCGGTGATGAAAGTGAATGGGTAAGAATGACTATCATCATATACATCATTGGATTTTGGTTCTAAATGAAGCAGCTCTTTCATCAAAGCTTATGTGTTTCAAATCTAATTTTGTTTTCAGTTAAGGGCATATGATCGTGAGTTGGAGTCATTTAGTGGTCAGCTCTTTGAGTTTACCATTAACTTCCCTCCAACTTACCCATATGTCGAAGATTCTGAAAGGGGGGAAATGTATATGCAGACACGTTGTCCTTCCTGGTGTGATCGTGTTTTTCTGAGTGCCAGTGCTCGAGCCCTTGTTGATGATGTGAGTACTCTATAAGACTGTATTTCTTGTAAGGACTGAATGAACTGTGGTGTTAAACTTATGAACTTATTTTCTTGACAGTCCCTGGAGGATTCAACTCCCGAGTACGGCTTGATAGGCCTAAACTCTTGTATGGGTGATCATAAGGTAAGCAAAAGATTTCCGTCGTTCATTCACAAGTGTTTTGTCTACCTCCATTGTGTCAGTCAATCATGGAAAATTCTAATTTAGTAAATTAACCATAATTGTTTTAATAGTGGTGGCTTTTCCAATTATAATTACCTTTATTTTGGTTGAAATTGATGCGGATAATGTTTCTTAAATGTAGATGACAGTATTTTGGCCTTGCATGCTCCAAAGTTCGAACTGAATTTATCAGTGAAGGTAACTTCCAATCCCCACATTTATTAATGGGCTATTGTTTTGTTTTTTCTTTTGAAATGATGGGTGCAGCCAGTCTTTTTGGACTTAAAACTGAAAGATGGCAGTAGCAGGTACTCAAATAATTATACACTTTGAGTTGAATGCAATTGAATGCCCCCTTGACCTTGGCCCTTCCTGTTTAGTTGCATCCTGTTAGTCAATTCCCCAAATTTCCAAAACTGAACTGAATAGTTTCAAACTAAAAACAACAACCTACCCCTCAAAACTGTTTTTAAAAAATTGCACTTTAGTAACTTACTTAGTTCTTACTTTTTCCTTCTTTTGTTTGAATGCAGAGTTTTTTATAGCTTAAAACTGCTTTCCCTCTATTTCAGTGACTCAACACATGCCTCTACCACCCTTTTCAAAAATTGTACTCTTTTTATTATTATTATTCTTATTATTATTAGTATTATACAATACTGTAATTATTGGTATTACAGAGGTTTCTATAAAACTAATGTGCAACCCATTGTATGTGGCAGTGCATAAGATGACAGCATTGTCGTCAGGAAGTGTTTGGTGCAATCCAGTGTGCTGTCTTTTAACAAGGCACTCCCCAAATGTAAAGTTAACCTGGCACTCCCCAAATGTTAAGTTATCTACAATGTTTTCTATAATTTTGTCATTTTACTTTATTTTTTATGGTAAACTGGTAAACAATTTTTCATGATGCTCCTGTGCGTCACTTAGTTTTGTGAACACCCAGGAGCCTTCTGTTCTCACTTCATGGGACTTTGAACTGGTTTCTAGAAGAATTTGGGGTTACTGCGATGGTACCGTAGAAGCAATACAGTTTATTTGCTTTTGTAGGTGAGAATTAGCAATTTAGTGTTTTCTTTACCGTATGTCTGTTTGAGTATGTATATGATTTTTACACCCCCTCCTGTACTCCCACTCTCTGTTTATTTCTTCTGTTTTTAGACTTGCTAGCTAGTGGAAGTAAGATCGGAGCAATTATTTTTTGGGCTTTTCGTGTCAAATTTGTACTGGTGCAACTATTTTTACTGTAATGCTTCATTTTTGGACTATTTTCTTCTGTTTCAGCCAGTCTTCCTCCAGGCATCTCTGATTGGTGGATTAGGTACGGTGAGTTGCTGTGCATTGCCAGCTGCCCCTTGCACGTCCTGCTTGAGTGCCACAAGTCCCTTAGAACATGTTTGCCGCCTCTGTACTAAGCAACCAGTAGATTCTTCCTCATTTCCTGTCTTTGAACCTGAGCAAGACCATAGTGGCCTCGTCGTTCCTAAATTCCATCGACATACCTCACCATACACTCCTGACAGCACTGATACAGAGCCTGATTTAGGAGAAGAGTTGTCACCTGAAGATCCCCTTTACATGAAGACTAAAAATGATAGGCGTCTCAATCGCTCTGATGTTTCTTCTCGAAAGCGTCTGCACATTTCTGCTGACGCTGCATCTAATGTTGAAGGAGGAGAGAATCTGAATCGGGCAGCTACCAACCGAAAAAGTGTCTCAAAAATTCCTGTACGTGTACCCGATCCCAAAGAGCCCATAGTGGTTCCCCCAGGTCCCATAGTTTCGAAAATTCCTGTCTCTAAGCATGCCGTAGCTAGGCAAGAATCGCTATTGAGAGGTAAAAATGGGACCCACATTTCTCCTTCCACTCCTTCTTCCAAGGATAATCTTGACAAGAGATTAACTTTTAAATTGGATAACGACCTATTTTCATTTGATCGAGATACGTCCCCGATGAGTGGTGCTGATGATCATATTTCGATTTCTAAACCTCGTTTGATGGAAGGAAGGAAGCAGTTGTTCAGGCAAATGAATGTTGATGAAGAGAGCAGTGACTCTGATACATGTTTGGAAGATAGTTTCAATTTATCTGATCTAAAAACGGGTCATAAATTGCCCGAAGATACTAAAGTTGAGATTCAGTTTTCTTTGGTTGAAACTTCCTCTGATCTATCATCACCTGTCGATGGTGAGACAGATGGTTTTCTATCAGCAAAGGCAGGAGGATCTACAACTGATAGTGGAGTGTCCATATCCCCAGACTTGTCAGGGGCAGCCTCACCATCAACTGATGAAACAGATAAAGTTGCACCTGAAACAGCATCCCTTGCAGAGTACGCAGAAGACAGTGACTCTAAAGCTGAAATGAATGCATCTCTTGATAGATTTACCTTTGTGAGAAGAATTCAGTCAGCATCTGCCATGGAACGAAAGAGTTCCTTCCCCTTTCCCTCTTCTATTTTTGTGGAGAATCAGCCCTCATTAACAGGGTTTGGGGGTTCTGGATCTGATTTGTGGGGCATGAGAACATGCAGGTGCATGAGTGATGGCTCACGGAGACAGCGATCGTCCACTATTTCTCACTCAATGCTCAGCTCAAGGACCGATTCCAGAATTCGATTAATTTCTACTAGCTCTCGGCTGGACAGATCATTACCTCGCTTACAAAGTCATCATAGTTCTTCAGATGAAGACTGGTTTGAAGAAATTGCCACCGATCCACTCGAATTGCCAATTGATAATGAACAAATTGCCTGTTGTGACAGTGTGAGCAGAGTGCAAACAGGGGATTGTGTGAAAAGGCTTTCAACGCATCAAGAATGTATCAATGACAAACTGTCTGAGTTGGGGGAAGAGAATGCTGCTGGAAATGACAAGGATGAAATTTCTGAAGTTGGCCCCGAATCATTTTTGAAGATGCATAGTTCATCTCAGTCTCAGTCCAGCAGTGACTGGGCGATGGCTGCAGTTGGAAAAACCTTAGCACAGACTTGTTTTGTGCAAGCAGTTGCAGGAAGATCCGTGAATGAGGAGGCAAGGCTATCAGATCTATCAGAGGCAAAAACCAATCTCGACCAACTTCAAGGATCAGAGTCAGAAAAATCTACATTAAAAGGAAAAGATGAAGAGGTAGTGCCTCTCCATCAGGCAGGAAGTGATTCAGAGGAAAGCCCTAAACATGTTGTAGAAATTCCTCAGAATCAACGGCGACTTTCAGTTACATCAAACGTTAAAGCGACAAACTCAAGAAGCTGCAAAGCTTGCTGCACTCTCCTGTGACAGATTGTTTAAGTCTTCATGACTGATGAATACATAATGTTTACAAGTTTAATTCTGACAATTTTAATGCAGATGTTTAAGTGCTATGACCATTGCCAAAAAAAAGGAATTTGTGAATTTGAGTCTCAATGTATTTCAAGAACTTCTGGAATGAGTTTTGAAAATACTTCTCTTCCTTACCCATTTAAAAGTGAGTGTGATTTGGCATTTGAATATTTTAATCAAATTACTTTTAAAAACAGGGCTTTTGAATGTTATGGTTCTTATTTGTAGGTGTATTCACCCACATTCTATCATTCTATCATTAATTTTGCTCAACACACATTTAAAGCTGTCCATTCTCAAAGTCTGAAACAAAAATGAAGCATTTAGAACCTAAACATAGTTTTATTTCCAAAAAGCCCTCAGCCTGAAGCAAGCATTTTTATCTTTAAATGGGTAAAGATGGTATCCAACCTTCATTCATTCCTCCTGGAGTAGCAGAGGTTTCTCTTGTTAGCCTAAACAAGGTGGATGTTTGATTAGACTTGTGCCAGTACTAAATCAAAATAAAATAACTAAAGAGAAAATCTATTTTATTGAGTTACAATTTACATCTGGGAGAAACAATTTTAAATCAAAATAATGATAATAAAAATAACTTGACTTGTGTCTATTGATTGTTTAATCTTGAAGTAGTTCTAATCAAAATGGTGTCCTCTACCATGGTATTTCTTTAGATGTATTTGTACACTTGTAGGACTACTGCTATTTTTCTGTTGGATCTCCCATAATAATATCTTTCAATTCATGATAAATTTTATGAAAGATAATCCGTAAGGTGCGGATTTGACAGATTCACCAAAAGTCATCTTTGATAAACTGCCATTTATCAGTACTGTATACAGGGTTTTGAGTGATACTTCTACATGTGTTCTAATTGACAATAAGCTATTGATTTAATGTCTTTAATGTTGTAATTAAGGGAGTCCAATGTTTTCTGAAATTATGTATTACAGCGACTCATCCTGTTCCTTACAGAGGTGGCTTGATTTTGGCCTATTGGATTTCACATTCTATGTTGTTTTTCTCATTAAATTGCTGCTTTTTTGTATATTGAGATAGTCAGGTTTGGTTTGAGGTTTGGAGTAATGTAAATCCTTGTCTTTTTATTTTTCCATAATTCCAATTGTATACTTCCTATTATGTGTACTCACCAAATCCTATGCCGCCAGCTTTGAATCTCAAGTCTATTAAAAATAATTTGAAAAAAGATAGAGGCTTTTAAAAATAAGGCATTGATTTTGCAATTTTGTGAAAGAATTGTTAGTGTGAGACCTATATTTTTTGTCTAGGTACGACAGTGAAATGTATGTTCCTATTGTAGTTTTTGTTTGTCTGTGATTACCTTCCCAAGGTGTCCTTATTCTGAAACTTGCCAATATTATTAAGTCAAAGTCTCAAGCACTTTTGGCTCTCTTATATATTAATTCTTTGCTTTAACAATTTTTTAAAAAATGGCTCGTTGCTCAAAGTAAGGCTCTCACTCTGTTGAATGTGTGTCTGATCTGCTACCAACATCACATTAGAGAACGTTCACATACCACTTGAACCTCAGACGCCATGGTAACACTGTCAAGACTCGGCATGCTTGTACAAAGAAAGCTTTACCACGTAACATCATTTTCATGTTCATATGGTATGTGGATGTTCCCATACCAGAAAGGCCAACTGTTTTGGCATTTTTCTTTGAATCTTCCAATTTTTTTCCAATAGGAGTTGAGGCTGGAGAGTGTATTGCCTTATATTTATTTAACACCATGAATTAGTTTTGTGGTGCCTTGTGTCTCATCTATGACAGCCTGTCTTAAACACAAATGAAACTTATGTACTTTGTTTATCGTGATACTGCTAGGATACTTTTACCATTCAAGTTAATCTATCAATCTCCACACCCAATGTGGTTATAGTTCTATGTTGAGTTTTGTTTTTAAGTGTGTGTGAAAATCTTAAATGAATGTATAACTCTTTAAGATTCCTATTTATTACATCGTGTTTTTATGTTGCTGCATTTAACTTTTCTTTTCCCGTTTCTGCTTTTATTGTTAATGAAGGTGTCACTTCAACATTTCGAAAGAAATGTACTTACTTTTTCATTTCATGGTGAATGGTTTCACTTTCACACCATTTCTTCAGAGAAGAAGAATGTTAAAAGCATTTCCCTTCTTGGTTTTGGCACCTTTATAATTTGAATTATTGTTTGAACTAATTTTTATTCCTCAAGGTGTATTGTAGCCAGATTAAAAAAGATTTTTTGACTGCTGTAGAAGGTTTATTTGTATATATATTTATGAAACTTTTGTTACACTGAAAGCATTACTCACTAGCCTATAGCAGCCTCTATACTCACAGTAGAAGGATGTTCTCACGCTCAAAATACTTGCCTTTGGGGCCTTCCAACATTTAGACCTAGGTCCGTGAATATACACGCAACCTTTTCTCTTGGTTGCTGTTGCTGGGGATAGTTTGATACCATTCAGCACAACACTTCCATACTACTGAAGCCAACTTAATTATCAGTGATTAATTTTGCATAAATGTAGCCGAAAAATGAGGCTAAATGTGTTCTTCAATTTCAATCATAACAGACACTGCAACTGCTGCTTTAAAGAAATTTACTACCTATTGCATGCATACATCTTTATACCCAACATATTCTTAATAATCTGAGTGTGACCTGAGTGTTGCTTGCTCAATCGCATGGTGCATACGTAGTTACTTTTCAAAATGTGGTGTGCCACATGTTTGTGACTCCCCTCGTAGTTTTTCCTTTTTTTTCTAAACTTTTAAATTTGTAATGTAGATAGCTTTTTCAAACCTTTGTGGATTTTATTGTAAAAAGTTAATTTTCATTCCCCATAATGAGTGCTTCCAGAAGCATTTATTTGTAAATTGTCAGGTAAGTATTCATGGCAATCCATCAGTGTGTTCCACTCAACTGATACCTTTTGTGTTTCACATGCATTTTTTTCTGTTCTTTCTTTGCCTAGGAACAAATTTACAGGAGGAATCCACTGAACATGTCAAAACAGCGTCAGATGTCAACATCAAGAGCAATAATGGGAGTAAAAGCAATGTCACGTCATTTGAAGACAGAGAAATTTCGGCCGATGATATTAGTGTAGATACTCTCAGCAATAGCCCAAACAACCGTATCATTGATTGCCAGGTAGTTAGCGAGGAGCGTGATGAAGCTGTCATGATTAAAAATCACCTTGACCCTGTTCCTTTTCCAGAGCCATGTGATCCAGCTCCCCCTTTCAGATACTTCTTATGGAACCAAACTGAATGTCCCATTAAGGTGTTCAAAGAAACTCCAGTTTAGCTGTATGTAAGAGGGGAGTTACTGTTTCACAAAATAATTCTGTTTCATCACAGTGACTCATTGGACTCTCTTTAAATTATTTTAAGCTACATAAATTTTTCCTCCATTGCACTGCACTTTCAATTGTACTTAAGTGAGAATGTGTTCACTAGAAACAATACAATATGTATGCTTGCAGTTACATTCTTCCAAGTTCCTCCAAGAGTAGAAATCTTTCCCTAAGTTGATGTTGCATTCCTTATAGCTTTTTGTTACTGTATATTATACTGTCATTTATGTGTTGGTTATTAATGTATTGAAATGTAGATCTCAGTGATGTACTTTACCATAAACATAATTGCATTATTGTGTGGTTTGCTCGCTCGGTGTCTTTAGTGTTTAGGTACATTGTGTCCTCTAGTCTTTCCACCATCTATGTACTTAGTTGTAGTGAACTAACTTTCTTAATGTACTATTACTCGGTTTTCTGCTTAGCTCAGTTCACTGTTCAAAAGATGATGTGACAGCTTCTTTCTGTTGTATCAAATAGTTTATGCTAGACCTGGACCAGGGTTTAAGTCATAAAGAAATAAAACACTGGTGAATTTAAATTTGTCAATAAGTGATACTATTTGATGTTTGTTAAGGAATGGTCAGTGGTACTCCGAAGGCCTTACCTTGGTTACTTTTCATATATTTGTTGCACACTTGCAATGCAAAACCCTAAATGAATGGTTTGTCAGACTGATATCTTTTGACTGAATTTTGAAAGATAATTTATCAGCAAGAGAAGTAATCTTTTTTGTTGTCCTCTTGAATAATTGTTTATTTATTTTCCCCACTTCCAGAGAGACCACATAAACTAGACCAAAAATATTTACATTTATAAGACTTAACTGTGCCATCCACTATTACCACTAGGCCAGATGTTTGTCTGTCTGATATAATCAAAATAATAATAATTCTGCACTTGCGATTAATTTTATTGCCAACTTCATTATGACACCCTACCTGTATATTTGCATATCAAAACAGGCAAACAAAGTCACCGCTGAGGTGGTATGTGCAAGTCTTACAGATAGCTGTATCAATTCAAGGAAATTAACTTTTTGTTTGTATGCGTCAACGTCAACTGTTCATAACTTCAGCCAAGTTGCAGAAGGACATTAGAAACAAGATTTCACCTTTGCACCCCATAACTAAATTGCTTCATAATTAACTTAAACAATGAAGACTGGTATATCGTCTGCTAATAAATGTGCTCCTTGCTTAAATTCATGAACTGGTGTTTTAATCATGGGTCCATTTAGTTTAGAATGAGTTGCACACGTTTGCATGGTTGCCATTTGATTTTATTTAACCCAGAAACTGTTTTGTCGTGTCCTCTTGACTTCAAAGTTTGTAATTGTAAGGTACAATTAGGATCAATACAGACCTCAAAACCTATTCTAATTGAACTCTTATAAATAGCAATTATGAAGTATCTCTTTTTTCATCACCATATCATGTCATTCAATACCTAGCGCCTAATAGTCTTATCCAGTGTTCTGCTGTGTTCAACTTTCACAAGCCTTCAACAAAAGCGTTATTCGATTTGTGAAGCCGTTGGAGCAACACTCCTCTTTTTGTATGAGTTTATGAAGCCTGTGTCCTGAGATCTGTTCTTTAATATAAAGAAAATACAAGCTCTATTTACTTGGGCCCTTTGCCGTCTGTTTTCTCTTGGATATTACCTTAATATCAATTAATTTTTTTTCAATTGAAAGTATGAATGTGGAATTTACCCTGGGAAAAAAAGAAGGTGGCGAGGTGTGATTTAAGTGGCATTTAAGTGTCACCTTACTGCCACCTTAGCAAGGTGGTTTTTAAGTGGATTTTGACATTTTAAGTGGCAAGGTGTTGAAGTGGCCAGTAGGGGGTGAAGTGGCCAGTAGGGGGCGAGGTGGCAATTAAGTAGATGTTAACAGTTCCGAATGGACTAGTATATGACTTGGCGGAGTTTCAGAAATTTAATTAAACGTTGAAATTCTGACACATTTGACTATTGCAAGGCAGAAGCCCGCACAGCCATCCAGTACGTCTATGAACATAGACCCACATCACCTTCATGGTCAAGAATTGCGACCAAGGCCAGGACTTCAGATTGTATGTCCAACTACGGAAGAGTTGCCTTCAGCCTCACAACTTAGTCCGTCTGGCATCATGAGGTCCAGCCTCGGTGCTGATTCCTGCAGCTGCCTAAGTAGTTTGGCACAAAACCTTTTCCCCGAGAGCCTGATGCCGGGCAGGAAAGTGCTGGGCGCCATCTGTTGGCTTCCAATTGAGTTATGGGCTAGAACAACACAGCCTCCTACCTAACGCTCTGCCCCCTTGGTATGGATTTTTAATTGCCACTTTACCACTTGGCTCTTTATCGCCACTTGACCAGTTACATGCCACTTCACAACCACCTTGCCACTTTGTAACCACCTTGCCACTTACTACCTTAATAGCCACTTCATTGCCACCTAAGTGACACCTTGCCACTTCCTTTTTTTCCCAGGGTTGTAGGGTCTTAGCCTGTATCTTCTACCTCTTCTTATTGATATTTGTCATCCAGAAGTAATAGCTGTTACATTGCAAGAAAGCAAGAGTTTTCCCTTCAATGTATTCTTTCTTGGGTGTAATTTTAAGTTTGATCTCATAGCCACTAGGATGATATGGAGGAACTCGAAAGCATCAAGTTGTTCATAATTGAGAAAAGAACAAGTAGGGCTAACTTTTAGTTAGATGTCTCTCCAGATTTCATCAAAGTTTTGTCAAGGTGTTGCTTTGGGCAGCCTTAACAAACATGTCTTAAAACATGGCATCAAAAAATTCTTTCCCACATTTTTCAATAGTTGAAATTGGTCAAAAATGCTGAAAACAGTCCAAATGCCCCTAAACTGATCTCATTTGAGCTTATGAGGTTTAGTATTAAATTTTGAGATCATATTCTTCTAGAAAGAGTGCAGTAAGCTCCCAAAGGACAGAAACAGCATTTTGAACGTTTTCTCAAACACCTAGGAATCCAAAAATTTAATTACAATTTTTATGCAGGCTCGAGCAAAAAAAATTGGAATTGTGTTTTTTGAAACAGCCAAGAAAACTGTTATTAGGTGCATTTATTCTTTTTAAATGTGAGAAAAATATTTCATGCCCAAACATGTTAAGAGCTCTGAAAGCAACAATTCGACAAAATTTGGATAGAATCCCAAGCACTAGTTTCGAGCATTGTGCGATCAGAAAAACATCTACGCTTTTCAATGAGATAGTAACAACGAATTTCAATCACAAATTTTCAAAACTTGGTGAAAATATAAAATGTCAGTACGAAACTCTATCAGTTATGCAATTTGTGCTTTTTGGTGTTGCTTATTTGTAAACTTATCATAGCCTTTCTTTCTTCAATTGTTGAAGCTGAATAAACCAGTCTTAATTTCAGAATGATTATTACAAAAATATGTATCTATATTTTAAAAAACAAAACATGAAAACACTTAATTCTATCCATGAAATGAAACCCAAGAGTATGGTGGTTGTTTTTCATTTGACTGTCATTCCTTCATTGAAGGATGCAAACAGCTGATTTGGCCCCCATTGATTGGGCTCGTTTCCCTGAAACACAGTCAGAGACCATGGGAACATGGGTATCTGAGATTTCTGCTTTTACAACTGGCTGATGCTCCTCTTGTTCGGCTCGAGTAAGCTTTATACCTAACAGTTCGGCAGCTATCTTTTGAAAGAACAGCGAAATCTGCAATTCAATGAATGAGAGCTTCAATACATTACACATTACACCTACTCAATCCAACAGATCTTAATAAAACCTTACATTTTCACCTGTGCGTGCAGACACAACATACGAAAAGAAGCCATGATCAGAGGCAAATCGTTGTTGATGATCCATACGAATGACTCTCTGATGCTCCATATCACCTGGCATATGACAATTTTAAACGGCTTTAAGTAAAATTTGAAAGTTACAAATCACAAATTTAAAAACACAACTGCTCTTTTGTAATCAGTAATCAGCTGTTTTAATGACAGATTTCCTCCAAGTGACTCATAAGTTTTAAAATAAATTAAGCAGAAGCAAGTGCCATGTAAATACATGACACGGCCTCACATTTATTTCCAAGAACAGCACACAATACTGGCTTGGCTTGAGCAGTACGAACAGCTTGCATCCACTGGCCCAAGTTGTCAAGAGTAGAGGAACTAGTCACATCAATCACGTATATGACTACCTGCAGGTATACATAAACTGGTTGTAGGACAAAATCATTAAAGTAGCCACATCACAATATCTTAATTTTTAAAATGAGTTTTTAAATAGATCAGTTTGTTAAAGCCAAAAAGAGTAATGTGTAACATACGTGGGCACCAAAGATGTACTTGTCTAGCATTTTTCCATCCAATGCAGATCCTCCAACATCCCACAGTTGAATAGTTGCATCTCGTTTTCCATGAACTGTTATTCTTTTTAAGAAGAAGTCCACACCAGCAGTAGGAAAGTACTGCCTTGAAAATTCTTGATGACAGTATCTTCTTATGATGCTGGTCTAACACAGAAAAACATAATCACAGATGAGCAGAAGTAACAAATCTTAAACAGGTAAAAGTTTTTTGTTTTTTGGGGGGAGGGGCACAATTTGTGGGTGGAGATCAAACATTAATAGTACCTTTCCAGTGCAAGGATCTCCTACAAGAACAAGCTTTAACTGCTTATCGAGACTGACTTCCTCTTCAGAATCAGACATGGTGATAAGTAGGAGGAGTGTTCCACAATATTCACCCCAAATTTTAAAAACCTACATAAAATCTGTTAGACATCCAATGGCAACTCTAGTTGGGCCACAATAAGGGATTCCTTGTGACCAGCATGAAAGTTCTGCATGCATCATACTAGAGATTCAGAACTCTCACAGTGCACTCAACTTGGATTCTACTCCAGAAACAGCTAAACTAATTTTTAAGACCCGGCCAGAGGTGAGTGTTTGATGTCAAGAAACTTGCGCTCAGTAAGGCGCGTCTGGGCTCGGGCCGCTAGGGACTGCGCAAGCTGCGGCCTTGCAGTGGCGCAGCGCTAGGGCAGCGGCGGCACCCTACTAGCAGCATGCTAGTAGGGTGTTGTCCAGTATTGGAGAATCGATCGGGGAGGTCAGCGCCGCTCGCTCCGCTCCCCTGCTCTGCCTGGCCATAGGCCTGGCCTTGTTCCGCACTTCCAGGTCGATACAAGGCGAGGGTCGCTGGCTCCCCTCTCCTCACCACCCTAAAAATATTCAACAGACAGAGAGAGGTGGAAACTCCAGGGAATGACCTACGACGGCGTGCGCGGATCCAAAAGAGGGGGGCATTACCCTCCCTGGAGGCGGCGACGCCGCCTGAAAGGTATGCAACAGGCCGCACTTTACCCCTGAAGGTAGGCAACTTTTGTGACCCCCCCTCCCCCGCACAGTGAATCCACCCTTGTACAATGGACAGCCAGCATGAAAGAAGTGAAAACTAGCATTAAGAGCGCATGACATATTCATCACCCTAACTAAGTCAAAGTTTGTTTGAGCAATGAGGGCAGGATATAGTGTTATTTCTGTTCAAAAGGTCACACCAAAATAAAATAAACAGCTAGTTTAAGTAGTTCTTATTCAACCGTAATCAGCAGATTTCCAAACATTTTTTTTTAAGTTGAATATCACATGTTTTAACTAACTTCAAAGACAAAAACATGAAAAGAAAAAGAAAGTTATTTTAGTAAGGAGCATGTGCTTAACTGTATTTACAATTCTGCTCAAGGCTTATTTGGTATTATTTTGAGGGAATGCTGTCAAAACTAACAAACTAAGAGAAGAAATGAGTCTCTTCATCAGTAAACAACTTACACACATCTTGTTGTTGGTCACACTTTAACAGAAATCTGTAAATACATGCCATTCCATGAACAACAACTTATTCATGAGTCTAAATCAAAAATAAAAAAAAATATCTAAAGCTAAATTCTACACAGAAAAAAGAGATAGGTAATTTAGAATACTAAGCTGTATATTACAGTTTAAAAACAAATTGAACCTCTTAAATATAGATCACTAAGAGGGAGAGAAATTGGACAGTTAAAAGAAATAAATACAGTACAATGGGTTCATATCCCTAGAATAACTTTAAAGATATCAAACATTATTCAGTCTCAAAATAACCCAACAACGAAAGCAGCAGTTTAAGTTCCACCGGACTGCTGTTGATACACCTCTATGGTATCTCCTTCATCTAATTTTAATGACTCTGGAGTATCTGTCTCATTGATGGCATCACCATCAAACCTAAATCTAGCCACTTTTGAGTCCAAATTCTGTCAGGAGAAAAAGTACAAATTAGGGTCTAAGCAGGAACATATTGTAAACCAGTATGTACAAATAAAGAATGAATGAATACTAACCTGCCTCTCGCAGTAGGCATGCATGAGCTTTCTAAGTGGAGTCTTCTTTTTAATTTTAAATTGGACAACTGCATTATCTTGTCCCAGAACTTTCAAATTTATGTACTCTGCATTATCTTGGGATCCAGATTTTATGTCCTGCAACAAGATTAAAAATAAATTTTACTATACAAACAGAATTGTAATTTAAAAATTGGAGAATAACATGGTTTAAAGAAGTTGAGTAAACAAAAAAAATAGGATGTTGCAAGCACTAAAAACGATTCCCAAGCTATTGGAGCTCTCTGCAACAGTCCAATTAAAGGAAGGTAAGACCACAGGATTCCCATAAACGAACAAAAACGAGTTTTTCAGAAGAAAAATAATCTGAAAACACTAAGATTCATTGCGCTAGTGTCCCAAACAATAGAACAGGGTTGTTGGCATGAGGTTATGTGGAATGGAGACAAATTTAACACAATGCAACAGACGTGTGCAGCAATAAGTAAAAAGAACAAAAAAAGTGTTTTAGAGCAGTTTTCCGAAAAGACTGAGTGACAACGTTCTAAAGTAATACATTTGAAACCAGAAAGCTAAAATTCAATTGACCAACGAACCTCACTTTCGGCTTTTCAAAAGTTACCCCAAAAGAATGCAATCGTTTTGTCAATTAACAAAGAAATCATACACAGCTGGAAAGTGAGATAACAAGTACCTTTTTGTCGTCCATCGTGATGACTCTTTAGCTAAATACTTATGGAGCTAACGACATTTAACAACAATAACACCAACGCTGAAATCTGTCCACACGCATGCCGCGCGCCGCGTCCTCTTTCAACTGTTTAAATCAAACCGCAACTGCAATCTCAATGTCGATGTTGAATCTCGAGAGGCTCGGGGTCGTTTAAAGAGCTCCAAGGGAATTCCCTCAACCAAATTTACGCACTTTATTCGAATCATTCAGGTCCGAATTACTAAAAAGGGTTACTCTTATCCTTTAAAGGAAAAAAGAAAGAAAAGGCGTCTTAAAACTTATTTGACTTTCGGAAACTGCCGCACAGAGAGCGCTTCTCCGAAGGAAACAGCAGACGACGTGACGCGCTCCCCGCTCTCCCCTCCCCTCCCGCTCCCAGTGCCCTCGCGACCTGCACTCAGCGAGCAGATGCGACATCCAACCAAACGAAATTCAAATTTTGTTGTTTTCCAAAGTCAACACAATGACTGTCAGGGCATTATGGCAGACCACTTGTCAAATTTACCCTTCTATCTCCAAGCCTTTCGCATGCCAAAGAATGTACGTACTGGTGTAGGGTTTTTTGTGGAAGTAACCTATGAACTTGACAAACATCAGCTGTATTTCGGAACATTCATGTTTATCTACTTTGTTCATGACTTTTGTGAAAATTGTGTCAGTTTCCGAAAACGCAATATAATTATTCAATCATCAATATCGCATATCGTATGTGCTTTCTCAAGCTGCAAATAGTAATGTAACTTTCACTGTGTATCATATTAGTCTTCCCTTTGTTGTCGAATCTCTTTTCCACTTGCTCTGATCATGTTTCCAGGACTGTCGATAGACTGAAACTCGTCCGACTTGCACATCAGCAGCTGCCTTCGTCTTCAGCCTCTCCCATGCAGCAATCTTCAGCAACAGGACCACATCAGAATACACCTTCTGCAATGCCACCTATGAAATCATCACCTGAAGATGGGAGTTCCAAACAAAAGTCTCTTCGTGTAACTGTGGTTTCTCGCTACATGGAATATCTTAATTCTTACATTAAAATTCTAGATAAGAAGTTTCCAGCAGCCATGAATGTGTACCGAATATTTATGCTGGGCACCAAAGAGTTATTAAGGTAAGAAGTTCTAGTAACCAATTTGCGTCTTCCTCTGTATGCAACTTAAGTGTCCAAAGAGAGGAATTGACTGTCACTTTCTGTATCCATGCATATGTTTCGGGATTACTGAGCTGAGCTTCCTACAGTATATCTTCTTATGTTGCAGAGATATGAGGGTTTACTTTCGTTTGTTAACAAATGTTACGTGGGATGTCCAAGTATTGCGTCAGTTAAGTCGTAAGGAGTTAGAGCTTTACCAAAGTATGCCAAAAGATATGTTGAAGATATTACCATTTTTGGTTTTGTCATCTCTTCCATTTGCTAACTACGTTATGTTTCCTGTTGCGTGAGTATATCTCAAAATCTAAATTTGATTTTGATTCCACATAATTTTAATTGATATTTATCAAAGTATTCTTTGCAATAGGTACAAGTATCCTCGGCAATTGCTATGTAAACATTATTGGACCCTGCAACAGAAAGTGGAGTTTGCAATGCAAACCCATCGTAAAAAACTCCTAAATCAAAGAGCTGTTTTTCGAGGCTTACAACTGCAACTTGATTCACAAGCTGTGAAAAGAGACAAACGAGTGCACAGAGTATGGTCTCACAGCATTGCATGTCTCGGAAGTGGCCAGCATCCTCAACCTGAAGATATTATTCAGTGTTTACCACTCTTTCGAGGAGATCCATACCATCTTGACTACCTGATGCCATCTCATGTAGTGAGTGTCTTATGGCAGTACCCATCATCACCCCCTTGACATTTTTCTTCTTCTCCTGGCTCTTCTATTTGAACTTATAACCCATTGGTTTTTCCAGAATTCTCTCTTGAAGCTGCATGGAATGCATTCTATGTGGAGAAGACGCAAGAGGCTTGCTGATCATGCAAGTTTAATTCATGAAATAGATTTAGCGATATTACGTGAAGGTGGTGTGGAAGTGATGACCCAAGATGAAATGCGTTCAGTAAGTTGCATTTGACTGTTTTGTCAAATTTTCACTTAAAAGAGATAATCAGGCAAATCAATTCATCTCATTTACAGGCCTGTTTCTTAAGGGGATTGAATCCTGTAAATATGTGCACTGAAGACCTCCGTTTGTGGCTGTCACAATGGATGAAGATCTCAACCCAAGTGGATCAAACCAGTCTTTCATTATTACTACATTGTCCTGTTTTACTTGCTTACAACAAACCCAGCAATTGGGCTTTGTTTCATTGATGTACTCAGATTTTCATACATCATGCATGACAATCATTTTGTGAACCTGCATGGCCTGAACACTGAGTCTCCTGTATCCACGCTCTCCTTTGGAGCGTGTGGCAGCACCCAAACACTATTTCATTTTCTGTGATAAAACCTGTCTCTTTAGCTAGAATTTGACATGTCAAAGTGAGAACTAAATAAATGAGTTATTTATTATTATTCATGCACGGCATCTGTTGCTACCATTGTAGAGGTGAAGACAAGAGAAGGAAGAAGAAAAAGAACATTTTTCCACCATCAACTTTTATTAAATTTCAGATATGTTAACATTCTGGTTCTGGGTTACTTAAACTTCTAATTTATCTTAAGATGCAATATTTCTTAAGGAGGGTAAAATGTTGAGTACAAAACTACAACACAAATAAACTACATCAAAATGAAAATCTGACAAGAGTTCGTAGACTTGTTGATTTTGTAATGGGTAAGCAATGGGTTTGTCACTAGCAGGTACTGGTCACAGCCTTGCAGTAAGGTAATGGTAAAAATAAAAGTATCAATGAAAGGTACCATGGTTAAGTAACTCAAATACAAATAATAAATTTAACAGAAGCGCAAGGAAGACCAGCAGGGGGACTGGGTGCTTCTAGTTTGGCACGAAAAATAGATGCAGGCAAAAGAAAATATATTCATAGGGGAATGTAGGCTGGTAAAATGCCAATCTTTGAAGTTCTTTGTACATTACCTTTCTCACCATTAGTACCTTTGTCTGAATCACATGAAGTTTCAGAATCCGAATCCATATGATCCAGTTGTGATTTGTTAAGTAACTCACAAGAACTACTTCCTTCATAGTAACGCTTAACTTTTTCAGTTTCTTTTAGGGAGGCGGATTTGTCTAATTCATTAACTTGTTTCCAATTTTCCTTGAGTTTTACAGTGTCTTTGGGATGCTTAAAAACAGTGCTCCTTTTCTTTCTAGGTTTCCGTTTTGCACAGCTTACATGGGGATAAGGACAGTACCTACCTTTACTGCATTTCCCATCTTTCTCAAATTCAGGGCACAGGAACAAATGTCTCTTCTTGCACTGAAGTAAGAAATTAAATTATGTGAAACTTAAAATAATATCAAGCGAAAAAGAAGTTGGTAAATAAGATGAAATTTGTAAATTGTCCTAGATTAGGTAAAATCATTTTTAGACTCAATAGCTTTAATTGACACCACATTAGAATGCATCTTCAAAAGCATAAAAACCATTTCAATGAAAAAGAGACAAGATAACGAAATTTCTTGACTTACCATGTCACCGGCATCACAGTAGCCATGAAGAAACTGACGGCAAATATCAGCATTGGCACTAAGTTTCACATGCAGGTAAGGGCAGTTATCACGAACACAACAACCTTCCAGAAAATATCGACAAGTTGGCATTTTTTCAGGTCCAACATCATGAGAAAGAAGGCATTTTTCACTCTCACAAGTGCCTTGCAAAAACCTAGAAGATAAAATAGTTCTTAAAATTTGTTCTGAACAAATCTGATGTAATTGATGGAAGCACAGCGTTATGACTCACTTCCGGCAGATAGAAATATTTCGAGGATCATGAACTCGCCAACATTTGCCCGCCAAGTGGGCCAGGCATTTCCCAAAACGATGATAGATTAAGCATGGCTGATTATTTTTACGAAGTTTGTCTGTTAACAAAGCTATGCTCCTCATCTTTGCTAGACTAAACAAAAATAAATAAAAAAATTAGTTCAAAGAGAACCACAATATTACATAATATTGGGAAAAAAGGATTTCTTTCATTTTATTTCAGGGACTAAATAGCAAATTAGGTACCTCAGCAAGTTTCTTGCATAGTGGGTATTGGTGCGTACTAAGGTGTTGTCACTTCTTCGGGTAAAAGTAACTCCTCCAATGTCAACTCGGGCAAGTAACTTTCCACTGCTGCTTGCACCAGAACTATCTTCAGTGCTAGAAGGACGTATTGTTTTGCCTTTACCATCCATCACAAATCTTCTTCCACGTATATGCAATATTCTTTCCCTGGCTTCTGGAAGAGAATAAAAATGTAAAGAAACAGATACCATTTAGAGGAACAACATAATAAAAGAAAGAATGAGCTCTTACTTCCAGTAGAAGTCCGAGTTAGGGTAGTTCTGGTTGATCTGTACAGTACACCACCAATATTCACAAGACTTCTGTTGGGTACACTCTTAGAGGATAAAGTACTCATTTCATTCTTCTGACTACTGTTTTTACTAAAACGAACAATTAAAAAATAACAATAAAAATCAATGAACAATCAAAATTCAACAGAATTTTATGCAAAGACACTTACATGCTTCTCCCTACTGCTTGGTATCTCTCCTTTTGCCATGAAATGTTTTTGTACAACCCTGACTTTAGGAAGTTCGATTTGACACAGTTTGAACGACAATGACTTCCAGAACCTGACATGAGAACCTGAGTCCTGCTTTTAGCCGTAGAAGCCTGAACTATTCTGAATCTTGAAACTTTCCTTCCATAAGATGGTTTGTTTGCATTTAAACTCCTATTTTTAGATCTTATTGGGGATGAGTACAGTGAAAAGTTACTCATAGAGGAGTTCCTAAAAGAAGACTTGGATTCTGCCGAGCCATGGCGTACTAATTTATACCTAGAATGATCAGTCCGAGCCTTTTCTTGAGATGCTGCCGGTTCTTTATGATGACTTGGCTGAGCTTTGATAAGTCTGTACCTGGATTTCAAGCTCCTCCTTAAACGGGAATTTTCCAACTGTATCCGAGGCGTGTGACACACAAATGATTGGTCAAGCTTCTTCCCCACTTTCACTTGTTCTGTGAATGAACCACAATCTTCAGGTTGACGAATGAATTTGTATACAGATTTGGAATTTGAAACTGAAGAATGCCTGGGATTAACACTTTTTCTTCCTGATTTTCTGAAATAAGTAGTTGGTACACTGTTGACTGTTTTCAATACATTTTGTGCAGTTGTTGGACTGCGGACTAATTTATACTTGCTGGCGACCTGTCTGGCCAGTTTCTGAGTTGATGAGCAGCCAGTTGGACTTCTCTTGTTAACTTCCGAACTTAAAAGCTTGTGATAGTGGGTTGAATTTGTTTTGCGAACTAATTTTCTTGAATTGAGGACGACAAATGAACGTTCTGTGACACTTTTAACCACACCAGGCTTTTTGGAAATTTCTTCCCTCATTTTTTTGGTTTCAGAACTTGTGTTTGGACTAATAGTGGTACCACTTGGTCTTGATGACAAACGCGAAATTTCATTTTCAGATGGTAAATTATTGAAGTGCAAACCAGATGTCTGTCTTGTCTCTACTGGACGAGGAGGCTGCTTAAGATTAAGCTGAGACAAGACTTTTGGATTGACAAAAATGGTCTTCTTCCCCACTGTTTGTGCATTGGAGCCTTCTCCTTGAGCATTGTCTTCAATTTGGGAGGCAGATTCCACACGACCTTTCCAATGAGGATTAATGTGAACATTTGCTGGTCTGTTTGGGATCATAGATTGGTGTCCCAATACTTTTGGCCGGTAGTTAGGATTGATGTGCACACGAGGTGCCACAGGGGCAGGCATACCATCTGTTTGGAGCATAGCATGATCTTGAATGAAGGGTGAACTGTAATAAATTTCACTAGCTGTGCTATGACAGCTGCCATATTCATTGGCTGGGTCCAGGCCCAGGCCATAGGAATTTGCATATGAAACATTGTTGAATGACGAAGAGTCTGAGTGCACTGTCCCAAAACCTGAAAATGAATGGCATTGAGTGATCATAGTTAAAATTAAAGACTGTTTGTAATACTGAATGCAATTCTCTTTTTTCTGCTTCAATACCTGAGAAAATATCATTAGGCCCTGGTATTCTATGTGGTTCCATACTGAAGAGCCAAGCTGGAAAAAAAAATTAAAAAGCTCCTAATTTTAATAATAAACAGATCTTTTACAACACATGACACAGAAAGATATCTGAAAATGTAATATTAATTTAAGATCCAGCAACTTCAGAAAGAGTGAGGGTCCACGTTAGTCTAGGTTAGACCTCAAGAAGGATTCGAACAAATTAATGTAAAATTAAAATGAAATGAGAATAGTAAGTACTACAAACCAAACTAAACCATGATTAAATGTCCTTGGCATGAATCAAGAATCCAAATGTATTGTGAAATAGCAACTACAGTAACAAACAACAAACTGCTTGTACTTAGTACTCCGAACAATGTTCGCAGAGTCATCCATAGAAAAATAAAATTGAAACAAATACCTAGGATCTGGTTCCGGAGAGACTGCACAGGTACAATCAATCCATCAATCACGACATATTGGTCCAAGGTTTATTAACGCTACCTACAGCTGATTGACGTGAAGACGACGACACAGCAAGACGTAACTTGGCACTGCCCTCCTTAAGTTCGGTCCGCCACCTGTTGGCCAAATTGAGAACGTTTAAACAAAACAACAACAAACAATCAGTTGTGTGCCTTTTACCAAAGGAGATGTCAAGTTCTACGAATGTATTGAAGATTTCATTATTTATCCTTAATGTGTGAAGTTGGTGAGTCTTTTTTTGTGGCGTGAGTACTTGGAAAAGCTGTGAGCATAATTGCTATGGCTCCGTCTTTCTAGCTGGAGCCTTCCGGAGTAAATAAACATAAGTGTGCTTGGAGGTCTTTTGCTTAATACGTCATTTCAATTCTAATTCTCTTGCTTTAAGCTGATAAAACATCTGCTGTCCTGAAATTTTGATCCTTGGATCGCTTTGGCTTCCATTTTCGGCAGTTTGCGTCAACCTTTCGCCAGTATTGCCCACCTTAACCGTTGAGTTTCTCCTCGGCCTCAATAAAGCTTCACAGCCTACTTTCGTTTTCGCGTTCACCTCTGCTCATGCAGCTTCTTTTTGGTGCGACGTACTCTATCGTGAATAGTTGAAGTGTTGGAAGCTGCTTTGGGCTGTATGACGGCTTGTTTGGGTCTCTGAGTTTAATCGCAAAGTAGGGCGTGATGTACTATAACCTAACGGTGTACTCATTTGATGAGAACTTAACCTACATTCTTGTTTGGAGGGATACATCCTTGCTCTAATTTCTAATTGGAAAGCTTCTACACTTGTATGCCTGCATATATTTTAAGTGTTTTGAAACTCAATGAAATTTTTTGCTGGGCCTTTCTGTTTCTTGGTGGCAAAACTTGTTTATGTTTTAGAGGGAACCTGTTAATTGAAGATTTCTCTGAAATGTTGAGTTCATCTAAATTCTTTAATTCTGTTCGGTGAAGCCAATTCATTTATCACTGAAAATACTGAAGGCAATGCAAGAGTATATATTCTGTCAAACTTATTTGGTATTCTCTAGTTGTTAATTATTGTAGACAATATCTTTTCATTTGTGATCTTATTCAGCTTATTAATACCGTTTCATTTCAAAATTCAGTAATCCTAGAATTTGTTTCAGAAAGGGGACAATGGTAGCAAGCAGAAGTGACACCAAGCGTCGTAAAAGAGATTCTAGTCCTCTCCACTCAAATCCAAAACGGTGAGAATTTTCAGTTCTCATATGTCACATTTGTTTTCTGATTTTGAAGTTGTGGAATTGCATTTTCAATGCATATCTGTAGCTAAGGCTGCAAAGTGTGCACATGTTAATGAAGAAAGCGTCTCCTCTGGTGTTGCAGGACCAAAGTACATGCTCAGCGTAAATTTGCTCAAGGTGTGAGTAGTCTGAGCAACTTGCTTAATTTGACACCAGTCAAGGAAAAGTCAGACAAATCTCGGAGCAATGGAACTGCTGGGAATTCAACAAATGATCCTAAAAGCACTGAAAGTACTGGAAGCCCAAGTGATGTAACCACACCAGGCAAGCGTGCTCTTCCAGCACGTGGGGCCAAAAAACCTAGCATAGAAGATATGATAACATTTTTGTGCTACAGAGGCACATCTGCTCTTCCACCCCATCTTGCCCATTTAAACAAGGCTCCATCACCTGAACCTGCATCTTCTCTGAAAGCGTCGGAAAATTCCCGCAATAAGGTGGGAGATCGAAATAATAAAGACAGTGATAAGGTATGTAGTAGATTTTTTATAAACGAAGAAAAGTATGCCTCATTTTTGTTCAAAACTTTGTCAGTATAAAAACCTGTTTACTGTTTTAGAACATCAAGAAGTCGTTAAAAACTGCATCCACTGCTCAGAAAGCTGTCACTGCTGCCCAAGCCTTAAAAAGGAAATATCAAGAGCAACGTATTAAGAAAACAACTGTTTCTACCCTTTCAAGCAAAGGTCAGTGAAAATATTGAAGGTTTCTGATTAAAGTCATCAATTCCTTTTTATCAGTTTCATGCATTGTCTGAACTTATCATAAACCTTTTACTTGCTTCAGTTAAACCAACACCCCTATTGCGTTCAACTCGATCTAGTGCTGGAGCTGTTGCTTGCTCGTCAACTAAAGGCACTCCAAAGAAGATTGATCTTAAAAAGAACAATGCAACTTCTCCTTCCAGGAAAAGAGATTCTTCTGTTAAGGATGATTCATCTAGTAAAAAGTCTAGCAGGTAAGAATTTTACTGATGGGTGGTGCTTGATCATTGGACTTTAGTAATTTAATGTATTCATGCTCTCATTCCACGATTGTAGGTTGTCTGTAAATAAACATCAGACCAACAATAGCAGAACACCCATATCCAGCCCCCATGCTTCTGGAAGTCGTGGTGGCCTCCGCAGTGGTGGATTGTCTTTAGAAAAGTCTTTGCGGAACAGTGTAAAGAGTTTGGGAGGCGTCAAGAAGAAGAAGAAGAAGCTCAGCCCAGATAAAGAAGATGCAAGTCAGGATTCCAAAAAACTTGCAACATCACTTTCTGACTTCTCTTCTGAAGATGACCAGCCTCTGGTTAAGAAACATAAGCCTCTTGTTCAAGTACAAAAGTTAATAAAAAAGAGCATTGCAAACATTGGACGAAAAATGAGAATGGAACCTAGAAGGAGTACGAGAGGTGTTTCATTAGGTCAACTGTCTCCCTCCAGCTCTCCACCTAAGAGGTATTATATTTACTTATTAATACTCACTACACAATGCTTTTAACCGGTCTGTCCTGCTGATAAAAAAATATATTTTCATCCTATGTCTAGATTGTCGAGTGGTTCATTACAGTCACAAGGTACATTAAGTTCTTCCAATTGTCTTTCAATTAAGTATTTTTCTTTCTTTCTTCTAATACCTTTAGCTTTCTCTCCAGGTCCAAAAGATGAGCAAAGAGTGAGTAAAAAAGCATCTATTCCTACCACATCAAAAGAACAAAATGGAGTTGCTCGCAGGAGTACATCAAATGAAAATCAGAAGAAAGAAGCTCCTCTAACACCCAAGTCAGCCTCAACCAAGATGAAGAAGGGTTACGTAATGGAGCTAGTGCATGATGTGGATGATGTTGACCCACCACCGGAAACTCGCTCCAGGAGAGGATCACGTGATTTACGGGAACAGTCGACGGATGAGAAATCAAACATCAGCTCAGAAATTTCTAAAGCTCAGGGACCTTCTAACAAAAAGAAAGATGCTGCCAAAACAATGGAGCAATCAAAGAAATTGGCTAGCAGTGCTGCGCTTTCAAAGGCCAGTAATGCTAAACCAGCAGCTGCTTTGAAAAACCAAGTAGAAGTCACTCTTTCAGCAGCTTTAAAGAGTCCACCAGATTTACGCATTCCACCCTCAATAAAACGACCCTTGACCGCTGTTGGCATTACAAATCCTATGGCTATTGCTGCAGCAGCCGCTGTTGTTTTCAAGCCTTCATCCACAAAGCCAGAAGAAAAAGTGAAAGGAAGAGAGCCTCCTCAGAAGAAAGAAGATGTGAAAAAGAAGGAAGTTGTTTCCAGCCAGACTAATTCAAAAATTAAATTAGTCAAGCAGGAAGAAAAGATGAGCCAATCCAAATCAAAGGAGGGAGACAAGAAGAGTCCTGATGATTCAAAGAAAGAAATTAAGGTTGGTCAATTAAGGGTGACCAGTCCGAGAAGAAAGGCTGATGAATCTTCAGATGAGGGAACCAAAGCAACCTCAAGTGTGACATTAAAAGAATGTAAAGGGACAAGACTCAAAATAGAATCAGACTCAGGAAAGGAAGTTGTGACAGAGGATGACGCAAAAATTCTTCGTATGTCTAAGAAGAACACAGTAAAAGCGCATACTGATGAAGATGAGGAAACTTTGGGAGCAAAGTCTTCTTTGAAAAAGAATTCAGATGAAGATGAACATAAGTTGTCATCCAGGTCAAGACGTTCTGCCAATCGCTCCCTCAAGAAACCTCATAGCTCAGATGAAGAAGTGACTAATGTGGCTCAAGGTATACCAGGGGATGGAAGTAAAAATGCTCGTGTAAAAGCCTCCAGCACTGAGAATGATAGCGAAGTAGATACTGCTTCCAAGCAAAAAACCAAAAAGGGTAATGTCTGTGAAGTAAAATCCCAGTCGTCCGATGAGGATGTGTCCAGAAAAAAGTCAAGTAAATGTGTAAAGAAGGTGCTGAGGTCATATAATGAGGTCAGTAGTGAGAATGACAGTGATGCTAATCTCAGTGACGCTGCAGATCTTTCGAATTCAAAACCATCTACAAGGTCATCTGCCAGGGCTAAAACTGGCAAAAGATCATCTTTGCGTTTCACTAGGTCAGGGAACAAATCCCCTGCACATGACAAGAGGCACAATTTAAAATCAGATACTTCTGAAGATGAATCAGAGACTGAAAAGCCCTCTAGAGTACACAAGACGCGATCTAAAACTGTCAAGAGTTCCAGCAATAAGGAAAGTAATTCTGAGAGCAGTGAAGATGAAGTTGATAAGAACTCATCTAAACCACATGGAAGAAACCAAAGAAATGTGTCATCTGCCACCAGAAAAAATAATAAAGCAGCTAGACTAGTAGGTAGCTCAAGTGACTCTGCTTCTTCAACAGATGATGATGATGATGATGACTTTGAAGACGTTACTTCAAAGTCAAAGAGGAAAACCAAAGCTACTGATTCAGACTCAAAATCTACATCAATTAGGAAATCTAAAGACAGACGCAACAGACTCAAGAATTTGTCAGATGATGATATTGACTGCGACAAGAAGGAGAGCAAAGGAAGGCAATCCCGTAGCCCTCGCAGAAGCTCTCGAAGGAGTACAAAGGCTAGCATTATAGATGATAAGAATGATGATTTATCTGTAAGTGATGCAAGCTCTTCTGAATCATCGCCAAGTCAAAACCGCAGAGTACTTCGTCAGAGGAGAGGGTTTTTCAGCTTTGCTGAAGTTGACCCTCCTTCCGACTCGGAAGAGGAAGTTCTTGCGGCAACCAAAGCTAGTTTGGAAATGATTAATAATCATCAACAACAGACAGTTGACGCTACCTCAAATGAGAAAGAAGATAAAGATTCAACTTCAAACTCTCAAGAGACACAGAGCAAGGGCAAATCTGCAAAATCTAATTCTTCAGAACCTGTTAAAAGTAGCAAGAAAACAAAACCCGATGCTCCTCCTGTCAGGAAAAGCCTCTCAAAGAAAAGGGTCAAACCACCTAGTGAAGTTCAATCAAATTTGAATGAAGAACTTGAAAAGACTTTATTGAGTATTAATTTGTCTCCTCAGATGTCAAAGACTGTGGACAAATCTCCAGAGCAACTGTCTTCAACATCAATGGATACTGTGGTGGTCCAAGCTCCCAGAAGTGCTGTGCGCGGCCTGGAGATGCCTTCTGAACCAAGCTCCAGCCTCTCTCCCAAGATCAGTACCAGCATCCCTAGCACACATCCCTCTTCAACTGTTGTGGGGTCGCCGAAAAAGCCCGCTGGACCAGTAGATCCATTGGGGACTGCGGCAAGTCTGCCACCTTTGTCCAGTGCTGCGATGCCCCTGACCCGAGCGCCAGGAGCCAAAATGACCTCAACCAAAAGTGGACCAACATCAAAGTCTCAAAAGAGCTCCGCCTTCATTGTTTCTGCAACTTCAGCACCAGTGTCATCAATATCTACCGCTTCTGGTGTTACCAGTGCACATGCAATGACTGTGTCTCAGCCCACTCCTAAAGGATCTCTGACTTCCTGCAGTGTAATGCCTGCAGTTGGCAGTGGAAGTATGTCTACTGTTTCTACTTTATCTGCTGGACCAGTTATCTCTTCAGTTATTGGTATGCCTTCCGTTTCCATGAGTGCATCAACATCACTTATTGGTGCTCCCCTTACAGCTCCAATGTCTGCTCCTTTACCAACTGCTATGTCAGCTCAAATGCCATCATCAATTGCTGTTTCCATTCCTCCATCCTCAGTTTCATCTTCATTGTCTGCGCCCATGGCTTTGCCAATGTCTGCACCAATGTCCATTCCTCTGGCAACACAATTGGGCATCCCCCTGCAAACATCAGTTCCACTAAATGTGCCAATGTCAGGCACGATGACATTGCACTCATCTGGCACTTCAGGATCTCCATTTTTACTACCTGTGCAGTCAATGGCCTCCATGCTGGCTCCAGGACAAACTATCATCAAAAAGGAGTCTGGAACTGTGGCAGGAATGTCCAATCCTATGGGAAATGCATCTCCACTTATGGTCGGTATGAACCCTTTGGTTGTCAACAGCAATAGAGGAGCTTTCTTTTTGTCAACTGGAAGTACCATGACAATGACTGCAAGTCAGCAGCAAATGGTACCTGGTCCATTGATGCCCTCTCTTTTGTCTCTACGTCTTCCCGACAAGCCAGCTGGTCAACAAACAATCATGGCAAGCTCTCCCTTGTATGTTCCGTTTGCTTTTGGAAACTCAGGTATTATTCAGACACAAGGTCAAATGCAACCTCAGATCCAAATGACTGGTGTGTCTACAATCACAGCAATGGCTACAAATATTCAAAATTCTGCCAACATGCAAGGATCTGTTGCGACAAATATCCACAATACTGTGGCAGCGAATATTCAAAGCAGTATGACTTCCAATATTCAGAATCCCATGGCTACTAATGTCCCAAACATGTCTGCTATGAATATTCAAACTCCTGCACCAGCGAGTATACAAAACTCTTCAAGTGTATCATCAGCAATGACACTCTCTCAAGCACAGGGGACTGGAATTGGTATGAAGCGACAACTTGTTTTGGCAACTAAAAATGGTCCAGTCTCCAAATTGATTCTGTCTGTTGGTGAGGATGGATCTCATGTGTTAGCTGCTGCAAATCCTAACACGCTGCCAACAACATCAGAAGCACAAACTCTGATGTCTATGATGCAACCCATTAAGCCTCCTGTTTCAACTGTAAATGTGGTTGCATGTCAAGGTGTGCAAACATTACCATCTGCCTCTTCAAAGCCCTCAACAATTGCGCCAAAGTTATCATCTGTCATGCCGAAGGTTGTTCAACCAATGACATCAAGCACTTCAGCTGTGCAGAAACAGCAGTTTGTTCTATCTTCAAATGTGGCTGTAAGCTCTGCAGCTTCTGGCATCAACTTGTCATCGGGAATTCAAATATCAAGTTCAGTCAATGCTTCACCGATTAGAACTCTGCCTATTCCTTCAAGTACATCCATGCCAGTTGTCAAATGTGGAGCGTTGTATGCAACATCAATTGGTGGATCACCTGATGCAATTACATCAACCAGTGTACCACTCCTTTCTTCGTCAAGCACTGCTTCTACAGTTACAAAGAGCAGTGTGGCTCCAGGTCCAACGTCTCTGCCTGATTCTACCAAAATTTCTGCTGCTAATAGCTCTGGCAGCAGAGTATCCACTGGTATTTTAAACACAGGAGTGAAGTCAGATGTGAGACTAACGCCCACCAATGCCTCTATTCGACCAGCGGTTTCCATCTCAACAATATCTAGTTCTTCGTCATTGAAGCCAGAGGAGAAGCCTCGTGCACCCCCTGGCATGGTTCCAAACAGCTCGGCTGACCCAAAGATGATTAAGACCCCGTTAGAACCAAATGCAATGTCAATTACTTCCTCAAAGTTTCCTTCCCCAGTGAAGGTGGCTTCAACCGCAGCACAATCAAGAAATATTGGGAAAACTATTGATGTTAAACCTGTAGCTCAACCAAGTGTGAGCTCAGTCACTCCACCAATGGTAACTTCAAGAATTCCCTCTGCTCATGCTGCTTTGGCTGCTTTGAAAAGCCCTAGTGGTGCACAATCGTCTTCTCGAGCAATAGCAAAGACGGGATCCAGCCGGAAACCTTATTCATCAGCCGGCTCTTTTGCAGCATCGAAGCCCAGTGATCCTGCAGAGGCTGCATCAGTTATACCAACTGTTAGCTCTTCGCCATCTCGAGAGGCTTCTTCTATTGATTCAAGCTCATTGCCTTCCATTTCTGTGAGAACAACTAGTAGTTTAGTGACTCCTAATGTCACTATTTCTTCTAAGGGGACTGCTGTCAAACCATCATCTGTACCTCTTCCATACAGCAAGAACCCATCAAGCCCTGCAGTATCAGGAACTTCAGAACAGAAACGGAAAGGGACTGAAGTTGAACTTGCTCCAACTCATAGGACTTTATCCATGCTGTCTACTGCTTTCCAGGGAATGGGCAAAGAAAGGAAACGTGATGTGTCGAAACGAACCAGTACCTCAGCTGAAACTTCTGGTCTATCAGAAAATCCTGGCAATATTGAAAAGTCAGGTTTGGATAGTTTAGCAGAAGTAGCCACAAGTCTTGCAGAACGATCAGTAGATACATCAATGTCATGTGATAAAAGGACTCCTCAGCACTCTTTGTGGGCTAATCCTGCTCAAATTCTGGGAAAGGAAACTTTGAGGGTACCAGGTCTTCCCATCACTGCAAATGTTGGTGCTAATCTACCAACAAAAAATGACTTAGCAAAGATGAAGAGTGGAGCTGTTCTGGCTGATGCAGTAGAAAAGAGAACCGACTTGGAAAAGAATACAAAAATGAAGAACAATCCAATTGGCGCTGATTGTGAAAAGCCATCTGTTTCTGGCCTGCTAACTAGCAGTAAGGCTGACACACCACGTCAGAAAGTACAGAAGTGGTTAGATGATGGCTCCAAAGGCGATGTGGAACATAAGGCAAACTGTAGTTTGTTGAGTAATGGAAATACATGTACATGCGATGTTGTGGAAGAAGACATTTCTAATCTCAACAGCCTAGCTGAAGTTTGCATCAACATGGAACGTATAAATAGTCCCGCTAAAGATCTTAAAGGACCGAAACCTGGTGTTAAATTGGCTCCTGAAAAAAAGGGTAAACAGGATTTATTAGAAGCCTCAAAGAAGAGTCCATCAAATGAGAGCTCTCCTGTCAAACCAACCCATCCTCTCAACAGCCACCAAATGAAAGTCACCTGGCAAAATGCATTTGGAGTGAAATCGCCTGCTAGAAGTAGCAAACCTGCAGTACCACCTCAGCCCAAGCGTCCAGTGTCATCTGAAGATTTGAAAACAGTTTCAACTTCTGTGAGTGAATTGCCTGAAAAGAACAAGAAGTCTTCCAATGATCAGAAACTGCAAAAATCACCTGTCTCTCAAAGTTCTGGTGAGTGAACTCGTTACTAATTACTTAGAGACTTTCAATAAATTCTTGACCACTTTTCAACAAAATTGACAATTTTCTTTTCAGAGCAAAGTGCGAAGAATGATAAGTCAAGTGCAGCAGATGATGGAAGGAAATCACAACAGCGTCGGTCTCTTCTTAATAAAGTAGCCGAACAAGCTAATTCTAAGCTTGACAGTAATGCTTTTTCAGCTGTTAATGAAAGCAGTGTTTATGCATTTGAAGCTGAAACAGATACACCCCCAATCAATCGACCATTCAGAAGACGATCTAAAGCCTCATCCAGATCTGACGAAGAAGATTCAGTCTCTCTAGGATCAACAACCCATCCAAATACTGTTCATGTAAGAGATAACTTAGTTCTCCGTTAATTTTGTTCTAGTTTTTGTAAATTTATTAATTTTTCTATCTTGTTTTGTTTTAGGTCAGCAAAGACCCAGTAATAGTGCCTATACAAGTCGAAATGGATGAAAACATTTCACCAATGAGTCAGTTGACATCTGAGAAGAATGGAATTCAATCTGATGCATCTCCAAATGATGGTAGTGATGTTTATTACATTCCCTTGGGTGGACAAGAAGGTACAATTTCATAGATATATGAAATGTTCATTCTTTTTGAGTTTTTTGTGCTAATATGTTAGTAATTATGGAAAGGTAACAACATAATGAATTGTTAAAAAAAAATTTTAGGTAATGACGGTGATGTGCGGGCTGTTGCTGTGAGACTTGGGAAAGAAGGACCAAATAATACAGTTGTTATGAGTGCCAAAATTGTGAAAAAGCCCCCAACATTTAAGCACCCAAATGATACTAATGATGATGGATTACCAAACAAAAGGTTTGGAAAACAGTCCCCTTGCAATAACCTTAAGTGACCATTTAGCAAGATTCAGTATTAACCATCTTGTTTTATTGCCAGCAGAGTTAAATCAGAAACCTCACAATTGCCTGCTCACTCTGTTGAAGCAGAGGCGTCAACATCAAACATTCAACCAGGTCCAACCAATGAGTCTAGACCAATCCAAGAAAAAAGCAAGCCAAAGCTGGGAGAAACATCAAGATCATCGGCTGCTGACAGTTCAAGTGAAGACACATCATCTCTGATTAATATGCCCACTTATTCTAAAGACACTAGGGACTGTCGAAATTCCATGTCTCCTGCGTCGTCTAGAAACAGATCGCCTGTGTCTGACAAAATCTCACCTTCAGCGTCTCAGAATAGTAAGAAAGGACAGGGCAGGCTGAACAGACAATCATCCATTGACAGTGATGCCAGTGAGAAAACCAAATTCATGCGCCGGTGAGGATTTAGTTTAGTCTTCTCTTGAATTGATTGTTTCTTTGATATATTTGATTGATAATACTTTCATGTTTAACACACCTTATTGTAGTGGATCAAAGTCTAAATCAGCATCATCAAGGGCGTCTCCCTCACCTTCATTGCCATCTACTTCGTCTACATCAAGTGGACCTTCCCGACCCTCCCAAAAATCAAACCGGTCCTATAACGGACCAGTACCTGGCAATGTTTCTGAGGCACCTGTGTTCCATCCAACTGAAAAAGAGTTTCAGGATCCCTATGAATACATTGAGAAGATTCGCCCAATTGCAGAAAAATATGGGCTCTGCCGAATTGTTGCTCCAAACAGTTTTAAGGTAGTAATATACTTTTGATGGTAAATATCTTATCAGTAATTCCTTTTGGTTTGTACAAAATAAAATGTTTCTATTGTAGCCGGATTGTAATGTAGAAGATGATATTCGTTTCACTGCTGATAACCAATATGTACATAAAATGATGGATCGCTGGGGACCAAATGCTAAAGAAATGAGAGCTATTGTAAAATACATAGCCCAGCACAACATTCATCTTCAACATGCACCACTGGTGAGTGATTTCAAATCTACTATAAAATCTTGTCTTCCTCAATTTCAATTTTTAGAAAAATATATGTATTAACTGTATCCTAATCTTCTTTTAGGTTGGAGGAATGGAGCTTGATCTGCCCCGATTGTACACTACAGTGCAAAATTTTGGTGGACTCGCAGAAGTTATGGATAAGAAACGCTGGGTGAAAGTAGCTGAAACCATGCGTATCCCAAAGAGTGCTCAAGATAGAGCAAGCAAGTTGGATGAAGTCTACTGCAAATGCCTGCTTCCATACGAAACCTTGAAAACAGGTTGGCTTATCTTTGGGTTCAGCGTTACTGCATTATTATAATTTTGTTATTTAATAACAATAATAATGTGTTTATTTACTTAGGTGAAAGAGATAATCTGTTTGAAATGGTAGAAGTTGAGTGGGAAATGCGCAAAGAGAGAAGAGACAAAAGGCTTGCAGAGTCAGCAGCTCTTACAGACCAGTCTGAGTCTGCTTCACAGCAAGATGAAGATGACGATGATGATGATGAAGATGAAGAAGATGAGGAGGAGGACGAATGTATTGTGAAGGTATGTTCTTATATTTAGACAGCCATTGATAATGTCATTTGTCCAAAGAGGTTTTCATGTTTTGTGTGGTTTCTTTGGTTTCTAGGGTCGATCAATGCCCCTTACAACTTTTTTCCGCACTGCCCGTAACACCATACATATGTGGTTCAAAAGTGGCTCTCCATCTGCCGCCGAAGTTGAACATGAATTCTGGCGCCATGTGAGGGATCGCAATTTCCACATATGTGTAAATTCTGGATCAGTAGATTGTAGTGATCCTCCATATGGTTTTCCAACTCGCAACTCACCATTTGCTAAGCATCCCTGGAATCTTAAGGTTTTTTCCAACAGCAGCGGCTCTATTCTTCGCTCTTTGGGTTCAGTTATAGGTAAGGACATTCTTTAGTTTAAGATAACCAAATAAGAAAATGTCACACTGTGTTTCTCATTTTGCAATCACTACCCTGTCTGTTGCTGAACTATCAATGAAGGGAAATCCCTCTCTTGTGGAATTAGTGTTAACATACCCAGTTGGTCTATTTTGTACACATTTTGTGTTGTTTTGTTTTACAGGAGTTACTGTTCCTACATTGCACTTCGGTATGGTGTTTACCACATGCTGTTGGTACCGTGATCCTCATGGTTTACCATGGATGGAGTACCTCCACACAGGCGCTAAAAAGATATGGTATGACTTCACCTTACTTATAAGCTTGATTAATGGCGTTTTTCACATTTGGGTAATGCATTTAGCGCGCTTTAAGTGGGATAATGTTATATCGCGCAACGCTGAATCGAGCTTATACTGTAGTATTTTCATTTGATTGTTTAAACACACTGTATTAACAAACTGCCCTTTTTGCCTTCTTTTCCATGTTGCTGGGTTTTAGGTATGGTATTCCAGAACATGGTGCTGAGAAGTTTCGTTCTGCCATGCAAGATGTTGCACCTCACTATGTTCGAAAGAAAGCCCTTTGGCTGGCTTCTGACACTGCCATGGTTCCACCAAGCCTGCTGACAGAGCGCAAAGTTCCACTATGTCGCACTGTACAGGAACCAGGTCAATTTATTGTTGTATTCCCCCGAGCCCATACATCAAGTGTTGCTACTGGGTACATAGTCTCAGAGAGTGTATCATATGCTCCTCCTAGTTGGCTTCCCACTGCAATGAGTTCGTTTAAGGAAATGCAACAGTGTAATGAGCCACCCCTCTTCTCTCTGGATAAACTGATCTTTTCCATTGCTGAAGATAGCCGTAGCTCTCGAGATGTACTTAATCTGGTAAGATGAATTTTCAGAGCATTTCTTTACTAAGCTTTACTCTTCATATACATGAAAAGCATTCTTTTTACGAGTCAATCTCACTTTTTTTGTTTTATAGATACTTCCATCTGTAATGGAAATCCTTGAAAGGGAAATAACATTTTATGCAGAACTGAAGAAAAAGGGAGTTAATTCAACAGAACGCCTTGAAAGGTTCAAAAAGAAGTCATCAGGAAAGAAAGGAAAAGTGCAAAAGGAAGCTGAAGATACGGAAGTGATGGAATGTGAAGTGTGTTCAACCAATCTCTACCTGTCCATGGTATGTTGCCCTCTCTTACGATTTCTCCAAGAAAGTTGTCAGAATTGGAATTTAGTTAGAGGTTTTTAAAACTCACAATGACTTTCTTCATGCAAACATTAGAACTCTATAGTTGATGGGATTTTCTCACTGTTTCAATTAATGGTTATTGCTTCAGGTTTTGAACAATGAAGATGGTTCTGGATACTGTTTAGTTCATGCCTCACTCTATTTAGATCAAGATAAACTCGATCCAGGCCAGTGCAAGTTGTTGTACGCCTACACTCAGGTTTGTGTGAATCAAGTGCAGTTTCTTTCCTTTTATTTACACTGCAAACCTAACTGTCTACTTAGTACACACTTACAAATGCGTGCTTGCAAGTACACACTTACAAACGCATGCTTGGCCAAGTACACACTTACAAACGCATGCTTGACGCCGTATAACTCCATGCGTCAAGCATGCGTTTGTAAGTGTGTACTTGCAAGCATGCATTTGTAAGTGTGTACTTGGCCAAGCATGCGTTTGTAAGTGTGTACTTGCAAGCACGCATTTGTAAGTGTGTACTTAGTAGACAGTTAGGTTTGTAGTGTAGGTTTCATTTCATCCGGTTTAAGGATTTTTTTTTCTATTTATTTATTTATTTATTTATTTATTTATTTATTTGTTGTTTTCTTCTCAGAATGATCTGCATGAATTTTGTCAGAATCTTTTGGACCGCATCGAGTCCAAAAGTGGGAAGAAAGGGAACAACGTCAGCAGTAACAACAGTGATAGTGAAAGCTCTGCATCCACTTCTACAAGAACTTAGTTCTGTGCCAATTTATTGTACATTTCAAATTTGGCCACATTATTTCATGTTGGGGTATGACAGAAATGCTATGTTATATTTTTCTGTACAATGTACTTAACTTTTAGATTTGATTTTAACCTTTTAACAGATGTATTAGTGTGAGATTATTTTTTTTCCTTCTGTAAAGCAAATATGTGACTGACGGCTGTGTTGTGAGGTGTAGATATTTTGCTAAATGAAGTGGCTTTAAGGTTTAGTAATCAAGGATTTCGTTCCATTTTAAAATAACAATAATAGCTCTTTTTATGTAACATGTTGGGTCCCTTCTGTGTGTATGTGTATAGATGACTGTTTGTAAGTTAATTAGATTTACTCCTTTGCTTTTACTGCTATGGACTGGCCTTACAGGTTCCACATTCCTTGTTTTGTGGATCAGTAAGTTGGATATATGCTTTCTTACTAGGTTGTTTGGGTGTTTCATTGTAGTGATATTCAACGTAGTTTAAACTGATTTTTGTTTTCTTGCATGTTGCCCTCCTAAATCGGAGATGTACACATGGAAGGCATGTGTAGCAAGGTACCTATAAAATAAGTCTTCGTTTTTCATTTCTTTTTTTTTAATACAGTCATTCTTTGGGCACAGAAGAGCTACATTATGCCAAGAAATATTTTAACTGTAGAATGTCATATGGTGCCAAAGATTTATTACTGGTATTACATGTCCCTTCACCTTTTGTAAGTCTGTGCATGATGGTGATGATGATGATGAAGTTTCGTCTTCATTTGCTTGTCATTCCATCATGATGCATATTTAGCAGTGACTCTAAATGAATGTATTTAATGTAAATTTACAATCATTTTTATTTTCATAAAACATAAGACAGAAATCTGATTCTCAAACAACTGTAGTAAGTAATATGAAGTGAGGTGGTAGGGGTCGGCCGTCGCGCGACGGGGGGGCGGGGAGGGGCGGGGGAGCGGCCGACGCTGCTAACACGTCGCTTGTAATATGTAACTTTGCATAGTGTACAAAACAACTTGTACAGAACAAGTTTTGTTTCATCCTAAATCAATGTGTCAAACCTTGTACAACTTTGTACACTTTGATTGATTATTTTAGCATATTTTTATTTGTATAAATGTGTCTGTTGTTCTTCAGAATTGATATAATCAACTGTGTATCCAATATGATTTATAAGTTTGCATCTGCTAGTGTAAAATTCTCGCCGCGACCAACCTTTTGATAAAGTAAATTTTCTTTTCCCTTGTAGTGTAAACAGTGATACTTAAAAACATTCTTTTGTATATAGTGTAAACAGTTTCTCTTACTTTGTGATTGAGGAGATGATGAGAGTGGGTAAGTTCTGAGCAGTGGCTTCTGTCTCCCCACTGCCAAGGGCTCACTGAACTCCCTGCTTTATTTATACATTGGTTATTGAATCCTGTCAAACATATATCTGTAAGCCAAAGACCCTTTAACAGGCAATAGTGTATTTTCTTACTCTGTGTACTGCACTTTTGTCTTTGTTTGCTATTTAGGCAGATAAGTTTTGTAAAGTACATTCTTAGTACAAAGCATCATGAACTTCAGTGAGAAAATGCAAACAATCCTAAATTATTTTAGCTCAATATTTTGGGTGTGGATTGTTATTTGGTTGTTTCAGACCAATTTAGTAACTTCTCATTGCTGGAAGCTGAAATTAGGTATTATTTTGCGGCTTGCGCCTTGTTATAATCATGTTTTATTTAATTATTGCTATCATGGTAAAAGAAGTACGTACATTTGTCAATATTGTTTTTAATATTTCCTTTTTTTACAGCTTATTTCTAAATTGAACTATGTTCAAATTGCGGACCATTACCTAAAGCACATGTATATTTTTTAAAAAAATGACCTGTTAGTAAGGGATTTGTTCTTATGAGTAAAACTCAAACTTTCTCAAATAATCATATCTTTGGAAAGGGTTATGACATATTTAAATCTGCCTCATCTAGCTAAGTGTTGATGAAGTTTGTAGAACTGGATTCATTGTTTTAGTTGAATTTTGCTAGAGACTGTTAGGTCTTTTTCATTATTACTGAAGTGTGATTTGAAAAGATTATTTTTGCGTATAATTTGTTTCATTTTGTCACAACAGTGTTGTAGCATCTGCTGGGCAGTATGTTAAGGCACATATATTCTATCTTCTCACCATCTCTAGTCCTGCTTCTCAATCACATACATAGATATATTATATCTTGAAATAAAACATCTTTCTACGGTATTTATTTTTTCAAAAGTTTCCTTTGGAAATTTGTATTGTAGGTTTTTGTTCGGTATCAGGCTTAAGATTAATGACAGGAACTTTGCAAACCTTCTAACAAGTAGGTTCGGTATCTCATGCAGTTTTCCAAGCTTTGTTAAGATTGTTAGTTTGTAGTTGTTGTGAGTTCAAATAAATGAAACTATTGTACAAATCAATAGTGTCCTTTTTATTTTTTATGTTTTTGTTTTTCTTCTTTGCATTGTTGTCCAAGAAAAATGTCAATATTTAGTGACATTTTTTCCCCATGGAAATCAGAATTTTCATTCAAAAGGCTTTTTAAAAGATACTGTACCAATTAAAATCTGCATAATTTCTGTGCGTTATTTACCATTGCCTGTTAAAGGACGTATGAAAAGTGCATGTTTCCCCTATGTAAGTGTATTACAATTTTTGAACAAAAAAAAAAAACATAGTTGATTTTTCTTTTGAACCCTTAATACAGCTCACTGTAGAAGGAAGACAGCACGACATCGCCATGACATTTGACATGGCTGCGCGGCCCATGCCACCCACGCCCCATGGCATGGCCAGAACGTGCCATAGGGGCTGCATACACCATTCACCCCGATCGCGGGCCGGTAGTCACAGTCACCCACACCAGAGGAGCACTGTGAAACCAAATGTGGTGAATCCACACTTGAAGTGCTGAGGTGTGGAATTCTCAGTCTCCACACTTGGAAGTGCAGAGTTTGCAGTCTCCACACTTCAGGTGTGGAGTTGTCCACCTTTGCACAATGCAATGAGATAAAGGTTCTGTGAGCTACTCCACTCTTGAAGTGTGGAGACTGCAAACTCTGCACTTCTAAGTGTGGAGACTTACTCCACACCAGGAAGTGTGGAGTCTCCACGTTTGGTTTCACAGTGAGGATTCGTTCTCAAAAGTGTTCTCCGCCCCCACTATTGCTCCTCCGCCGCACATAGTGCCTCATGGCATGGCAGTGCCCCCGCGCATTGCAGTGCATTGCCCCTCAAACACCGTGTTGCACAGCTGCAGTCCAGGCGTGTGCAAAAGGGGAGGGGGTGCGGTCAAATGGGGGTCAGGAGGTCATGAACCCCCTTTCATTTACTTGGCACCAGGGACCCTACTTGGCACTAGACAGGCGCCTGGAAGGCAGGCAAAAGATCCCCCTCCCCGCTCCGTTTCAAAATTTCTGCGCACACCCATGCACAGCTGGTGCTTGGCTGGAATTGACCGTGGCCACCACATGCACCCACCAACGCACCACAAACCAACAACAGCAACAACTGCTGAGTGCAGCCATGATGTACCATGGTGCAGCATCCTCCGGCTCGTCGCTCGGCTGCGACTACAGTGCGTGAAAAGTGTGCCAGCCGCCCCTTCCCCTCTCCTACTTCCCCTCCTGCTCCTCTCCCTCTCCTCATCGCGTGCTCCCCCCTCCCCCAGCTTCAGAACAAAAGTCAACTTGCATCAATTTTTCTGAAAAGGGGCAGTTTGTCTCGCAGCATCAGTGTACCTTTTCAGAAGCCAGCAACCTACAGTACAATCCGCCTGCAGGTAGGCAAAAAAGTGAGTCATGACCCAGAAGGCAACTCCCTGGGTGCGCGCCTGACAAAACTGACCTGGGAGAGTTGTGTGGTGAAAGAGAAAGACCGCGCCAGACTGGTCTTTGGAGTGATAATTTCGGATGTATTTTTTATTGCTTTGCTTCTTTTCATGGCCACGCTACGGGTTCGCTTGTCAAAAGAATAACAACATAAAAAGTTACCCACTATCGGCCATGCAGTGGGAGATCAACGCCCTAAACGAAGGAAAATAAAGTCGTGATCATCACATCGAGCCATAGAGTCAAGCCGGGGAAGGAGGGGGAGGGGGTCTACAGTTTGAGGGGGGGGGCTGAAATTCAGGGATGGACGGAAACTAGCTCAAGGCGAGGCCTTCACTGGTAAAACTAAAGCGTAACTCTACGCTTGAGTCAAGCATAAAGTTACGCTTGAAGACATTATGCTTGAAATGAAGCATAGACTGGAAATTCCCCCATGCATTTAGATAGGGCGGATGAACCTGTTCCGCTTGATTTCAAGCGTAAACTGATTACGCTTGAAAACGGAGGGTAATGCTACGCTTTAGTTTTACCAGTGTTGTTAGTTGGGTCTGTAATGGTGACTTGAAGTGGGCTTAGATGTTTTGACCCATTCATAAGGCGTGTTTGTTTTACTACGTGTGCCGATGCTTCTCGAACCCAGTACATCCGGTACAATGAGTCTAAGTTTAAGTGCGACTCACGCGTCTGCGTAGCTCAGAGCGCAGAGGGAGTGGCTGTACAGTAGAGGGCGGGGATTCGACTCCCGGTGTGGTGATGCGCTGACACTTTGTTTTGCTAGGTCTTCCCTGTGACGCGCCAAAAGGGCGGCCTACCTCCTCGGCGCACTTGGGGGGGGGGGGGGGGGCAAGGGCGGAACTAGAAGGAAATGCTGGCCATACGAAAAGCAAACTCTCGATTTTCCTGGTCACAAGCAAAAGAGTTGTTCCCGTCATCGTCGGCGTCGGCATGCTTGGGAGTTGATTAGGCGCGTGGAAAACGAGCCTTGAAATTGTTATCAAGTGACAACCACAATTTTCACGATGCACTGGCCGCTTTTCCTCTTCCGCGTTTGCTTTGACCCCGCAGTCCTGGTGCCCGCTCGTCACAGTGCGAGAGTGGCGAGAGCGGCCACTAGAAGACTAGAAGGAGGGCTCTACACCATGGCGCGGCACGGCACGGCACGGCGCGGCACGGTACCCTCCCACCAGTCCCACGCACACGTGCTGTGCTGGCCAGCGTGCTTGCTCTCCGAATTGCCGCCCCCCCCCCCTTCCACATGGTCTGCATCGCGTGTGTCGACTGGCCTGTCGTTGGCGCAGTTCCGCCTAGTGGCCACGGTCCAGTGGCTGGCCGTGGGTGGGGCCTGGGGCCTGCAGACTGATTCCGAGAGTCGTTTGAGTCGCTCTGTCTCCCTCGCACTCATGGGCCGTCCCGTACAGGTGCAAGAGAGACAGGAGGGCTGGGGACTGGGGGGACGGGCGGCGGGCCGGCCGCACACCGCCACGCTTCTACTTTTGCAGTGCGCTTTTCGGGGAAACGGTAAAGAAACTCCCCGCGGGAACGTCGGCCAGCGCAGCCAGCCAGCCGGGGCCGGGGATATCTCGCGGAGAACAATCGCCCGGCCCGCGGGCCAGCACACTGGTTCCGCTGATGTCTGACCTTTTTTTTGGTCATACATTTGAGTATGACCCTTTTTCGGTCATACATTTGAGTATGACCGTTTTTCGGTCATACTTTTTGTGTCACCGAAAATTGGTGAGATGTCTCACCCTTCGAATTTCAGTGCACCCTTTTGTTCACTGCAATTTGGCTGGAAAGACTTCACGCCAAAATATGGCGAGACATTAAAGTCTCGCCAAGATTTGATCAGACCTGAAAGTCTCGCCAAAATTTGGTCAGACAAAAAAGTCTCGCCACGAAACGGTCATACACAAAAGTCTGACCCCAAAATGGCGAGACTTTTGTGTCTGACCACGGCCTTTAGGCCGTAACCGTCCGGCACATTACGGCCTAAAGGCCGTGGTCAGACACAAAAGTCTCGCCATTTTGGGGTCAGACTTTTGAGTATGACCGTTTTGTGGCGAGACTTTTTTGTCTGACCAAATTTTGGCGAGACTTTCAGGTCTGACCAAATCTTGGCGAGACTTTTATGTCTTGCCTCTGGAATGGCGAGAAGTCTGACCTTTGGATTTGTAGTGTGCAGGGCGAGGGCGGACGACGGCAGCAGAGCGCCTGTCGTTGCAGTGCAGGCGAGCATGTGTCGGGCCCGAAATGGTACGATCAGTTGTGGTCTAACCCGTAGTGGTAATGGTAATGTCCGTAGGCAGCCTCGTACGCGCACGCCGGGTGGCCTATCGGCCCAAGATAAGGCGCTCCGCTCCACCGCTTTAACTTGCCGCTAGTCAGTCGCTGCACTCTGGTTCCGTGAGTCGTCATCGTCTCTCTGTTCTGTTCTCCCTCGTACTCATGGGGCGTCGCAGAGGTGCGAGAGAGACAGAGCGACGAAAACGACTCTCGGCCGTCTGTCTGCTGGAGTAGCTAGAACCCCGAGAGGGCAACCACTCGAGAAATCCTGTGTCCCCTATGGCACTCGCGAAATGTCCCCGCTCTCCTCCCCCCGGGGCCCCAAAAGGCAAAAGCAAGTAGATTATAGGCGTAAATCTGGACGAAATCTTGCTAAACTCGACGAAATGTCTTCCTTTAAGAAATCTTGTGTCCCTAAACACCAAACGTGGTTGCCCCCTCGTAGAACCGGGGCTTCCATGGCGGCGTGTTTATATCCAGTGGCGGGCGGCGCAGGGGGTGGGTGGGGGAAGGCGGAGGGAGGGAACCTCTGCAGGACACTGGGGGAAGGGGGGCTTCTGCTTACGCGCGCGCCGCTGGCCGCGTGATGCGTAGTGACGCGCAGCAGACTGATTCCGAGAGTCATTTTCGTCGCTCTGTCTCTCCCGCACCTACGCCCCACGAGTGCGAGAGAGACAGAGCGACGAAAACGACTCTCGGAATCAGTCGGCAGTGCCGTACGCCAGGACGCGGGCAGGGCCAGCCTACGGGCAGCCTGCGGGCCAGCCGGGCTAGCGGTTCGTCCTGCCTGCCCCCCCTCCCCCACTCGGCGAGTGTCCGGCCGGGCGGCCGTCTACGCGGAGGGCGAGTGACCCATCCCAAGCCGTTCAGCATTGGCCGCACGCCAGATATATGGTAACGAAGCGCTTCGCTCGACTGACTGACCGACCCGTTCGTCTCCCAGTGTGGGCACACTGGGCGCGGGACTGCGGGCCGCGGTGCGGTACGTCACGCGGCGCTTTCGTCGCTCTGTCTCTCTCGCACTCACGGGGCGCACAGTGGGCCAGAAGACCGGTGGAGGCGGCCAAAACTCCAGACGCGTTTTGAGGCCCAGAGTCGCTGAATGGGACTCGAATCGAACGTGTGACCCCACCAGTGGATTGCTCTCCGAACGAGGAATCCATTGGTGGGGGTCACACACGTTCGGTTCGAGCCGCCGTAGGGGTGCGAGAGAGACGGAGCGGCGAGAACGGCTCTGCTGGCGCCACGGCGCCACGGCGGGCAGAGCCGGCAGAGCACCCGGCCGCGGCATGGGCAGGCTGGGCAGGCGACGGCAAGGCAAGCGGGTC